CGGTTGAGTAGTTATGGCGTGAAGGTGGAACAAACAAACAAACAAACTCACTTTCAGATTTATAATATTAGTAAGGATAAGGATAACAAGCGTCCAGGTGGAACCGCAGATTGGTCAAACAAATACCCTATTATTTTCTAATTTAAAGTAAGTTCTAAGTTCTGTTTTTAAGGAAAAAGCAGACCCCGTTAGATAAACGGCCTTTTTCTGTTTTGAACCATTTACAACATATATATTTACTAAATATTAGATTTGTATTACAATAAGGTAGTTTCCTAAATTTTATTTTAATGTTCGCCGATGTAAAAATGTACTTTGCGGTGCTTTGGCTTTGAATAAATTGTAAATAGACCTATTTGGCAACTATTAGCTTGCCGTCGGACGAACGATATCGGTCGGTGTTTCTTCCTATAATCCTTTAATCCTTAATCAAAAACCACACACTACATTGTTGTTTGCGTCTAATTTTTCCAACACAATTAATTAGATGTAGCTATATCGTTACTCTAATGTAATTATTACTTAAAAAATTTAAGCACATCATTAATAAACAATAGTTACATACATTGTAAACCAGAAACAGATATTTTTTGAGAGCTTTAGAGGGTTCATAGGTTCGTTGTACTCACTTTTCATCCAGATGCCGCGCCCGCGAAACATATTTTGGTAATTCATTGATTTCTCCCCAGTATTGCACCTCATTCACTTGGAGTTCATAAACGTCTAGGTCATCAATAAACTTGGCAATGCGAACCTGAGTGAAAAATATTTTTATAAATAAATACATTATTTCCTTTAATATTTCACAGAAAGTTTAGTAATTTTTGTATTTACCTTCAATAGATCTTGGTATTCCGATTTCTTCTGATCACAAATGCCCTTAGCCTCTTCTATGATACCAGGCATACGAGCATACCTACAATTAATACATGGATACTTATAAATAAAAGTTCTTGGTTTTATTAATGAAATATTTATGAATGACTCATTGGCCGAGTGGTCGCAAGTGCGACAGCCGGGCAAGGGGTCTCGGGTTCGATTCCCGCGTCGGGTCGGGTCGTCTAAAAATTTACAGTAGTAGCACGGACTCTGGAATTGTGCCCGGTATATGGCAATAGCCTCACCCCCTATTACATGGGACTCATAACATAAATAGTGAAAAGTGGGTGTTACATTGTACTGTGGCATAATGTACACCTCGGCCTACCCCTTCGGAGATAAAAGGCGTTATGTTATGTTATATTTATGAATGTAATAAATTGTTTTCACATCACGTGATTCGCTGAATGTAGGTATTGCTAAGCACTATTTTCGAAAACAGCTGAACCGATTTCGATAATTAATTTATTTGTTGCATTTGTAATTGTTAGGAGAAGTTTATTATAAAAGATGCGCAGAAAAATTTCCTAAGCGAAACAACGTTCGCGGGATCCACTAGTTACAAATAAGGGATACTGGATACTGTGTGGCGGATACTAGTCTCCTCCACCACTAGGTACCACATACAACATGACGACCACGAATACTCTTTCAATAGTAAAACGGCTGAGAAAAAGATAAAGATTGGTATAATAAAATGACGATAAAAAAGAAAGATCAGAATAAATCCGATTCTGAACAAATTTTCCTTACCAGTGATAGGTCTGGTTGTTAGACTTCAGCTCCAGCGGCGTGAAGGTGGTGTAGTCTCCTAAGAAGACAATGTATCTCATAACGTTACGTAGTTTGTCCTCCATCTCAGCTAGGAGGACGTCCTCCACTTTCTTAACATACGCCATCAGATCCATCAGTGCGGCAGTATCCCCCGGCGGGGTCAATAGTGTATTCGCTATAACTGCGTATTCATCGTAGATCCTGCACATGTAATTATTGATAGAATTGAACAGAATGGAATGGAATGGAATAGTACCATTAATAATAATGTAACATACAGAAAAAGAAAATAACAAACATAAATAAATATAATAATGGGCAAACAGACGGTCTTATCACTTAAAGTGGTATGTGTAATTATTTATAATAATTAAATGGTCTGTTAACAGTAAAAATTTATAATATAATCAACTTGTGATTCTTCTATTTTAAAGTTAATAAATGCTTACGCTTTGATCATTAGTTGGTAATCCTCAGTCATTCTCCTCAGCAAAGTATTGGCCATCCTAGTCGCAGCTGATCGCAACGAGTTGATGAGCTCTCCTCGCTGCATTTGGAACATGCCAATGACGATGATCCCCTCAAGTTTGGAAGGGATCTCTTTCGCTAGTTCTACATATTTCACAGACTCCACACAGTACTCTTCAAATGTCTTTTCTGGCCGCGAGTTTATAAAGTCTTCTACTTTCTTTTGAGACTGCCAAATATACAAATTAAAGAAAAAAATTACATATACTGTATGTCTTTGACATGTTAAATAAAAAATACAATGATTTAGATTGTCACCTCGCCGTTCAACAAACAAATATAATCATCAAAGTCTTGAACCCTTAGTTCTGGTCCGATTCTTTGCTCGGCAATCAAATCAGCAATCAGTTGCTTATATTCTTCTACTAAATCATTGTCTATTATAGGCTATAAGAAAAAATACACAACAATCTATTAATCTATACAATGATGATAAAATCTATGCAGTTACGTGTTTTGTACCTACTCATAGGTATATATTTTATAGTTACGGGGTTGGAAAAGTACCTTTAGAAACAGCGCATTTGAATATAATATGTCTTTACCTATGAAATTTGCAGTTGTTATGAAAATGCCTAAATTGTATAAAAAATTAAACGAAATATTTAATGATTTTTTTCTTTTTATTAATCGAAGTAATCACCCATGCAATCAATGCATCTTTGCCAACACAGTGGTAGTTTATTGAAGCCCTTCTTAAAGGAATCAGCTTCCCGTCCAGCTATTCTTCAAAGGCATTTTGCAGGCAGACAGCCAGCCAACAATTTCTTCAAAGGCATGTTGTACTGCCTCTCGGATATTGAATTTTTTCCCGTCAAGAAGTTATTCAAATTCTGATAAAAGTAGAAGTCTCTAGGCGCGTGGTCTGGTAAGTAGGGAGACAGAGAGCTTCCAACCTCAGTGCTTGCAACTTACGAGACCGTCTGCTGCGCAGTATGAGGTCGCGATGTCGTGCAGGAGCAGCACAGACGATTGACTAATGCTGGTTGGAGATATGCCAGCTTCTCCATCATTGTTTATTTATTTAATTATCTATTTATTAATGTGAATCAACAGAATCAATACATTACACAGATTTAGCAAAAAAAACAGTAACATTGAGCCACTTACAGATTCACACGAATACTGACTTAATAGGTAACAGCTAAGACAAAATTAAAATTATAAATACATACATATATCAAAAACAGTAGGCACACAGCAGAAAATTATTTAAAGTAAAAAGTATTCACCTTATACATATATTAAAAAAATCTTCACTTGTCATAGTTCTAGCTTTCTTTAGGTTTGTACAAAAGATATCTACATCATGCTTGCTACTGATGGCGGTAAAAGTACGACAAGCTCGACGTAAAAATTAATTTTGCCTGTAGTTACTATTTGCTACCGGAGCACAAAGAGGTGCGTGCTTCCTAAAGGATTTCGAGGGAACATTGAGAGACAATTTTTTTAGACGCTAACGTCGAAAGCTGCTCCTAATTCAGCCGTAGATTTTGTATTATCGGCTTCCACAATCGCCTTTAATTCGTCTTTGTCGACCCTCTGATTGACAACAACGAATTAAAATCTTCGGACGACCGCAAGGTTCATTTTTCAGGACAAAATTTCCAGAACGGAAGCGAGTAAACCAATGTAAAACAAAATGGTGCATTGGTTGGAAGTGTTAGCTCCGTAAACGTCGTTGATGTTGCGTGCTGTTTGTGCTGCGTGGCTGCCGCGACGGTACTTACCGTTAACATTCCAAGAATTCCACAATTACTCGAATTTTAACTTATCCATGATGGCAAAATAGATTGAAATCCAATGAAAATGTAACACTATTCAATAAACAAATGACTACTTTTGGAAAAAAATCCATGTTTTTTAATTAAAATTAATTTAAAATTAGAATTCTTAGCCAAAGAAAAATTACTTGGGGACATAACATAACATAACATCACGCCTTTTTATCCCCGAAGGGGTAGGCAGAGGGTGCACATTATACTACTGTACAATGTAACACCCACTTTTCACTATTTATGTTATGAGTCCCATGTAATAGGGGGTGAGCCTATTGCCATATACCGGGCACAATTCCAGACTCCGTGCTACTACTGAGAATATTTAAAAACCCAGTAATACTTTGCCCGACCCGGGAATCGAACCCGAGACCCCTTGTCCGGCAGTCGCACTTACGACCACTCGGCCAACGAGGCAGTCTTGGGGACAGTCTACTTGGGGACGGTTGGGTACAATACACTAGAGGTGCGGAGAGATGTGGCACTAGTTAAATATATAGCCAAGGTACTACGAGGATTGGTCCACCACCCGGAAGTGCTGGAGATGTTGGGATTGCGTGTGCCAGACGGATACGTGGGGGCTCGTCGCCGCCCCGCCCTGTTGGAGGTGCCAAGGGCTAGAACTAATCTTCTTAAATATGCTCCTATTTCGCGTGCGGTTCGGATTATAAATAGTGTACCGGAACATGATTTGTTCCACAACCTACCAAGGTTTATTGAAGCAGTACAAAGGTATATTGAATATCACCGTATTGAGTAATTGTGTCTATATGGTTATAATATGTATGCCATACTGAGCGTATGTAACTCTTATTAGTCTAATAATTAAGATAATTTTTTTATTAATTAAGTTACATGTTGGACTTAAATGTGTCAGGAAATGTGATATTGTATTGGAATAAACTGTAAGATGTCATATTGTAAGGTGTTGTAATAATAAATAATAAATAATATTTAGATTTGAAATAGCCAGTACTGCAGAACGGCAATTTTTATAGGTAAAGACCTAATCGAAATATTTTTCGATTTTCATTCATGCAATCAAACCTTCATCAAGAATAACAATCCACTCATTAGAGAAACGAAAGATTGTTTAGTAGATGTGCTTTGTTTACAAAAAAATATGTTTATGTATACCTTTAGTGTAGCTCTTGTAGCTTCCGTGTAGTCCTGATAGAGTATAGTCTCCAAGCGAGGAGACTGTCGACATGCATCTATCAAATAGTCGTACAAAAGACACAACTGATCTTTAAACTGTCGAAAAGTAGGGTCAAACTCAATGGCCTCGTTTTGAAATCCTAGATTTATAATGAAACCTTGGTTATTGCCCTGGAATTAAATGACTGGTTAAACTTAATGTATTAAAATTACTTGTTTACTATATAATTTCGAAAGCTTTTTTAACTCAGTAGTGTAGGTACTATTAGATCTGATTGATTTCATTTTATAATCAGACCGTGATTCTGATATTTGATTGATTTTATTTTGAAGATATTCCTCCTAAAAGACAATACTTACACCAACATCCATAACATAGTCAGTAAACTCCTTCATAGATTTCAAACACAAAGTTTGAAGATTATAAGTCATGATGCAGGCCAAACAGTTATAAAAATGCTTCATTTTAACTGCCTGCTTCGGTTCTGGGATTAATCTCTTTTTGCTGCCCTAAAAATTAAAGAACAGCAATATTCGACCGTGATCTAATATCAAGTACACTGTAAAATATATTTGACTGTTCTAATAGTTAAATCAGCACTGTTAAACAGATCGCTATTATGGTTCCATGAACTCGTCAGAAGGTATTGGTCTCACCTGAAGAAAAACAGCCTGAATAGTTGGGATCCACTGGTGTGTGAGTACATTACCAGCCGCTTCTATGTGCCTTTTACACACAAAACAGAAGTCTTGCAACTCATATGCTTCATTCGTTGTCATTATGTCTTTCATACTAATCAGTCTTAAATCACTGAAATAAATACAAACATCCAAATATTATTCATACTATTTCCCACTTCACACATGCGATCAGTCATTTAACATTTCGTCCTTCGGGACGAAAGTATTCGAAAAGAAAAAGCGTCCGCAATCGATCAAGTCGACCCAATGCGAATTGTCCAGATGTCGCAATATGTCTTCCATTTTTTTCGTTTCTAAGACACAATGATTTGTCATTATTATTTCTGAACTCCATCAATTTCATCTAACAAATGCGTATTATTTTATTACAAGTAGACTTCAATAATCATAATTATGTTCTGGATAATCTTACTTGAATTGTTTCCACCAGATTTGCAGCACCTGTGCAATACAAGGGTTGACGCTGTGTAGATTTTTAGTCAAGTGTTTATGTGCTATAACGTAGCGATTTCTCCAAGCGTCATCTTTCATCGCCAGCTCTTGCTGCAACGGCGTGTCTTCTTCTTCCAAGGACTCTTCCTGTAAAGTTTAAGTTGAACGTATAGATATTACGCCTGTCTGGGAATCTTTTCTGAAACCCAATTCTTTTATGTTTAGACTTTAAACTTATTTAACATAGATAAATACAGAATGATTGAAAGGTTTTTGCAAACACAAAATTCTGTATGTGGACATACATACAGAATTTTAACTATGTTTAAGAGATAAATTAAGTTTAATTAGGTATCGTACCGTATTCGGGTCTTTCAGTACAAAATCCACGATCGCTTTTTTCATACTCATCATAAAATCTTCGCGCATCTCATCGGTGCACGTAAAAAGCGTTTCCTTCCATTTCTTCAATTTTGGAGATATAAGATTATGTACCCTGAAAAACATTACATTTTTAAATATCATACGTGTAGTGGTTTGATTTGAACTTTCAAGATTGTTTGCATCACAAAACATTACAAATAAATATGTCTACAGTCAGTATCAGTCATTCATTTCGTAAAGTCAAATCCCCGTCGCGGTTGGCGAAAAATTCCAGAATTACAGGGTTTTATGGGAATTTTTATCCGTGAATCTCTATTCACTCTGAATCACTATGAACTCTTTCAGGGAATCGGAAAATTAGTATTTAATACGTATGGTCTAACAGTTAGACCATTATTAATTAGTTAGTTAGACTCTTATTAATTAGTTAGACTCTAACTAATTAATAAGTCGCCTCTCAGCATCTACCTTAATATTATTTTATTATCCAACGGCGCTACATGTATGGTATCAATACCATATCGCAAGTAGTAATAATATCTAAGCATATTCTGTTCTTCGCCAGTGGGCATCGACACCTCGTGGTTTTCATCTTCACCGCCAATCTGACATATCAGGTTTACCAGCTTTAATCTAAATTCTTCCCGAGCCTTTCTCATTTGCGTGAAACTCTGCATTGCTGAAAAATGACGTATCAAGTTTAAGTATGTTTTAAAATTTTAGTTGTCTCTTCTTTAGCAATCCTCTTCACTTTTAAATTAGGTACATAGTAAGTAAAAATTGGGAGAGGTTTATGTGCAACAGTGGAAGTCTATAACCTGATAATGATGATGATGAAGTGGAAAAGTATAAATTATTCAAAGTTCTTGCTTTGAAATTCGTTCAATTTCAAAAACAATTTTCATTTTGCTCGACTGAATCATAATTTAATATGTCGGTAAACAGCCTTGCCTAAGCAAATATGAATTTGCATGTATGCATATTATCTATACACACACACACACACACATTTGCGAATCCCACTCAATTTGTCTCAACGCTAAGCATGCATGTCTATCTAAGCCTACCTATCTAATATTGACGCTGCATTGTAAATTGGATTCGTCATTAGCCTATGAGTACTTTATCCTAGTCTTATCTGCTTAAAATATTTTATATAAATTCGTGGTTAACTGTCTATACATACAAATGACAATGATTATTATCCATTTCGTATGCATCTTTAAAAGAAAAGGTTTTAAGTACTTACCTTCTACCAAAATAAAAATGACAAATTTCAAAATCTAAAACAAATGGTGCGGCGCGGCGGTAGCATGCACCTGGTCTTACAAGATAAGGTAACTTCAAAAGTAAAATAAGTAAGATGAGAGATGGTAGTTACCGCTGGACTTCTTCTTCGGTGCAAGTTTTGCAGCTTGTAGTTTTGCTGCTTTGGTAGCCGGCGCAGGTAATTTCAAAACTTCTTCTGGTAACGAAAATAAAGGCCGCGTCCGTATTTTGAAGTCTTCCGGCATTGAAAGCTTCGGTATTTTAGGTAATTTTACATCGGAGGTGGAAGGCGACGGAGAAGGCTGGCCTTTTTTTCGCGTTGGTTTGTTATTTTTCTGCATTTTTGACGCTATAAAATTATTATACGTGTAAGTGAGCATAGTACCTAAGTAGTTACTTTACCTCCCGATCGAGTGCCATTTCGTAAAATGGTTTAAAATCAGGAAACCATACAATATGCATAATAATATCTTCTCCACTGATAACAGCTTCATAAAAAAATGTCTAATCCGATATCAATTTGTCATTTTAGTCAGAAAGCAAAGTGTTCCCTTTGTATGATTAACTAATTGGCGAGTCCGTAAAAAAAGCAAAAGTATTTTCATTTCAAAAGTACCTACTTATTTCCTCCTATGTCGTGGTTTTGCAAAGATGGAAAACCATAATCTGTAAATCATGCTAATAATTGTTTCGTGCAGAAATCGAACCTGAACACTTTGCACAGCAGTCGGTTGCCCAACCACTGTGAAAACTATATTCATTGACGCAGCTTAGATTCAGTTCAGAAAACTTTTGACTACCTAAGTAATATCTGAAACATAATTTTGAAAGATGGCTTTCGGTATCTATATAAGTCGTTAGTACAATGATGCAATAAAAGGAATAAATATAAGGACTTTGATTATGATAATAATATAAACATCACTAATGTATAATAGATATAAAAGGTACAGAAAAAGTTCCTGCGATCTGTAAATTTCAAATGTTATCATTCAAAACTTCCATACGAACAGTTGCTTACACGTTATAATTTGCTAAGTCTAGAGTCTAGACGTTTGCTTTTGGCTGTTATGATGCTTCATGGCTTGTGTAATAATAGATTTGACTGCATGGACTTGACCAATCAACTATTTTACGCAGTTCCTAGGTCAGTAACACAGAGGGGGGTGCGGGTTCCGCGTTTGTTCCACACTAACAAGTGCAGGACTAATGCCGGGGCGCGCGCGCCTCTTCGTCGCTTAGTGGAAATATACAACTTGCATTTCATGGGTCTGGACATGTTTTGTCTTTCAAAACATAGATTTAGAAAGCAGGCCGTGGAGCTTCTGACTGCTGGGTTGCTGCAGTGATGGTTGGCTATTAATTAGTATTCTTTTTCTTAATCATAAGTACAATGTACAATAGTTTTTTTGTATCAATATTTAGTAAATTTTAATATAATTAAATTACGATAGCGCTACCGCAACACGGTCATTATTACCGTTATACTTTATATTAAATTGTGGGCAATGGTGTGGGTTACATATTAATTGTAGCTGTTGTTTAATGTAAAACTTTTATGTAAAATCTTAATATGTAACTGTTTTTTGTCCCTTAAATAAATAAATAAAAGTTATATTCTGAGATGCAAGGAAAAATTATATTACTGGGCGCACTGTCGTTACGATTAGTTGTTACATAGAATACCATATAACGTAATCTGAATTATATCTTTTATAATATTTATATTTATGATCTTTTAATATATATCATTATATAATTTAATTATATTCGTCACTTGTTACGACTTTTTAATGCTATAGACCTTGATGAAAACGAAATAGAATTAAAACCGGCTGTAGCAACAACCAAACGTTTGACAGCCTATAACCTCACTTTTCGGAGTATGTTAATATTATTATAAATAGAACAGAAAATCAATGGAAATTTAATGAATACGGACTATAAGACATCAAACTAAAATAAAATAATTAATTTTCATCAGCAAGTACTTGTCCTTGTACTGTACTGTACTGTACCTTGGTCTCAGAAAGGTAAGCACTTTGCCTAAAACTTTTTGGTTATCTCTCTCTACGCAAATTACGACTATTTTTTACTTATTTAATCCAACAAAAGTGAATAAAATTAACTAAATAACAAATAAAGTCATTTTTATTCCTATGACAAGATTATACATTGCACAAACTGTTATTGTCAAGTATTGATTTCTCCATGACAACAGATTAACTTCATTTGTTTGACTAGTTCATTGTTAAACGGACAGTATCATGATTTAAAAAAGGTTTTAATTCAGTGGAGTTTCTGTCAGTAACATTTATTTTTTTATGTCAATAATATTGCAATTTTTAGGTTATAGGAAATGAAGCTAACAGTACAAACATATTCAAAGGTAAATCGCGCTATTGTGGCTCGTTAAATTACTAATTCAAACACAGTAACAGTTTGCTAGCAAATTGCTACTATGCGAAAGTTTATAAACAGCCTTTGGCCTTCATTGGACGAAGTCAGTGTTTCTGTCTTGCTCAGATGATGTCATAGCTGGCTGTACCTATATGTACCTCCAGTATAGTATATAGTTAACAGTGAACAGACTACAAAGGCACACTGAGTATCATCTGTTGACTTGTAGTACAAAATAATAAAATTTGTAATTTTTTGGTACAGTTCATCCACTGGACTTAAAATCTGCTTTGAAATTAGAGTTTGTGTGAGTTGACTTTGTCTTTTCAAGTTCTGAAGTACTAATTTATTTTGCTTGAACTTTTTGTGCCAGCAACTTAGTGCTAAAGAGTTATTGTATGAAACTAAGACACTGTTTGCTCTTATTTTTTTCTTTATACCATTTTATTATTTCAATGTACTATACAAATATTTCTATTTAAATGATACTTAGTTAGTATAATATGTAATGTTTGGTTTTCAGATGATCTTCCAATTGGTCCGTAGGTTCCATGCTGGACCAGTGTGCAGGGCAGCTGAATCGTCACTGTTAGCTAAACTGAGGAAGAAAACAGGCTACACAATTGCTAACTGCAAGAAAGCCTTAGAAATGCATAACAATGATGCTGATAAGGTATGTACTTGTACTACATCTAATGAAGTATCCCATCTAATAACATACATTCAAAAGCTTTAGTTCTTTGGGCTTTTTCTACTGCTTCTCAAAAAATCGTATTTTATTTATGCATACATGTATTTGAGAGTATACATTCAAACAAACAGATTACTTACCTCAGGCAGAGCTGCGGTCGAAACAAAGAAATTGAATATTGCCATACAGGAGGGGGATGTATGTTGTTATTTTTTAGAAAGTCACTAACCTAAACTACTGTTAATATTTCAGGCTGAGTCGTGGTTAAATGATCAGGCTCAGGCAATGGGTTGGGCTAAAGCCACGAAGCTCGCAGGCCGCACTGCGTTACAAGGGCTTATTGCTGTAAAGTTTGACAAGGAGCATGGTGCCTTGGTTGAGCTCAACTGTGAAACAGACTTTGTGGCAAAGAATGATAAGTTCCAAAAAATGATAGAGGATGCCACTTTAGCATGCTTCAAGTTTGCCCACACTCATATGCAGGCTAAAGGACCAGTTACTAAGGTATCTATCGAATCTATCTAACAAATTTAATAATAATGCTTTACATTCTCATATATCATTCTAATCAAACTGGGTATTGAGTCTGAATAAAACTTTGTCAATATATGAATTCAGTCCAACCAAACTAGATCAACTGAATAAAGCTAACTTAAAAGGTTAGCTAGTCAATTGTTATAGTTAGTTACAGATAGTTTCCAGGGTATCAAAATTAAAAATCTAACTAGTCCGTCAGTCAGATAATAAAAAAATATTAGACACGTATTTTTTTTATTTTCTCGTATTATGTTGCAATACTTAGATAAAATGGCGACGTCACACGATATTTCAAATTAATATATCGTCGAAATTAATTTTGTGAGAAAATAAAAAATATGTGTCTAAAGTTTGAAATAAATGTACTAGACGGTCATTAAAATAAAATTTAGGAATATTATTAAATATCGATACTCATTTGTGTTTGCAAGAATACAAAATATTGTATTCTAAGGGTAAGTAAGGGTAATAACCCTTACTCTAATAGAAGAGAGATTTATTTACGTGCCCTGCATCAAAAAAGCTAATTAAATATACTTTCTTTACATTTCCAGATGGAATTAGACAGTGAACAATTAGCTAATCTAGCAACTCAAAGTGGAAAGAAGTTGTCAGAAGAACTGGCATTGTTTATTGGAACTGTTGGCGAAAATGCTGTTTTGAGGAGGGCTGAATGTTGGAAGGCAAACAATAAGGATGTCAAAATTACCGGCTACACTCACCCTGCACCAGCGACACCTGCTGACTATTCCGCAGGAAAGTATGGAGCCTTGCTCGCATACAAACAACCCAGTGACACCGAAGATGTCGGGAGACAGCTTTGCCAACACATTGTTGGTATGGGCCCTAGGAAAATAGGTAACAAAGAGACAGACAAACCTGCTAAAGATGCTGATGATGAAACATGTCTTATTTACCAAGAATACTTACTAGACCCGTCGTACACAGTCGAGGAAGTATTGGCGAAACATAAAGTTGAGGTCATTGATTACATAAGATTCTCGTGTGGAGAAGTCATTGAAGCCAACATGCCTGGCGTGGAGAAGCAGCCATTAGATACAGTCCAAACCTTACAATAAAATGTTATAGCTGTGCACAGCATACTCAGTTGCAAGTAGTTATATAATTTCAAACCTTATTACATATGTGATAACCAAATCCATAGTACATATTTATTTTATATTGTTAAGGAATAAAAGCTTAAATAATATAACTCTTTAAATTTATGTATTAAAATATAAAAACATGGTTGATCAAATTTAATAACTACAAAAGTTCCAAAGTATATTATTATCATTTTCTGTATGAATCCGCGTGAATTACGTTCTTCATCTTGGCTTTGCCCTTCCAGAGAAACATCCTGCAGTCCTTTTTCCAAAACATTGCAATTTGACTGGGCTCGAAACAGTAGCCGTGATAGCTGAGCACCTCGGGAGATACGACGTGGAGCGCCAGTGTGTTCTGTTCCCTCGTCCTGAAGGGGCCCGTGGTAGCAGGCCGCAGTAGGCAGCCACACGGACACACAGTTGCTATTTTCGGTGCTGACATAACGTTCATTCGATTACATAAATTTATTCTTTGAAAATTTCCACATAACCTGAGCTCTTCGACGGCTCCCGTGAAGGATTGCGTAGCTCGCAGGGCGAGAGGCCGTGCATTTTGGTTTTCTGGATTATTTCTGAAACCAACAGTTGATAAAGATTTCTTTGTGATATTCGGACTGTCCTCCGGGCTTCTGTCTTCGAACTCGCTCTCTTTATCAGAATTATCATCTGTGTACATGATTGCTGTAAATAAATTTGCGTTTTTTTCGAAATTAAAATGACAGTTGCCGTCGTTTGTTCCCGCTCCTCTGCTCCTCGGATACGATGACCAAAGACAAAGTTTGCAATGAAAAAGTTTTTATATGACAAACATAAACTGTAAAGATACGATAATTAGGTTAGGTAGGTATTCCGATATTCCGCTGCCAGGTATTATTTACATCATTGTATCTATTAAATAAGTAAGTATACCTACAGAATAAAGTAAATATAACAATATAGGTCAGTCAGTGAGCATTCGACCGCGTCGAATCGATTTATGATCGCATCATGTACCGCTCGTGCTGCGGGTAGGTCTTACACAGACATAACGGTATGTGAATCTAGGACAACTACTTCCGATGCTCCGAAAAGAAGTTACATTTCAGTATTTAGATTAAAATATTACCTGTCTAGTGCACAGATAAATAACTTAGAGTATAAGTAGGTACCTAGCAGTTACGTACCTACATGGGTACATATTTCACATACACGTCCAGACCCAATTTGTAGATAGGTACCTACCTACATAAAAATTGTTTCGTGCAGACATCGCTCCCGATACACGTTGCGCAGTAGCCGGTGTCCCAGCCACTGCGTTAACCCCGCAGCCATTATGTTCTGTTTATGTTTACCTACATCATACAGATTGTTTCTCGAAGATGAGACAGATAGGAACTTGATGATGGCATAAGTATGTAGTTTCATTAATACATAGGTACATATCTATAGCCTATAGTCCATTGATCTATTCTATTGAAACAAGATATCTACCTCATTGACTTTTTTAAACTATACATTCTGTAATGTTAGTCGTGACACTACATTCCCTGTGTTACCTGTAACTTACTTAAAAATAATGAATCGACCAACGAAGGTAGGACACCGATACATTAGTCAGGTTACCTATGTACTATGTCCTTAAATTATATTAGAAACCTATTTATAGCTTTAAAATAAGCTCTATATAGCGGACTTAACAGGTTGCCGGATTTCCGGCTGGAAGAGCAGTTGTAAGAACGCGGTGGTTTTTAGTCAATAAGAGTGAGACTCCCTCACGCCCTACCCGGGCGGGAGAAGTCATTCAATGATCCCCCCCCCCCCCCTAAAATACATATCTACGTATGTACATAAACATGAGGTATGTTTCTCATTCTATGTACACAACACAAAGCTAGGTATCAAAGTAAATGTCCATATTAAATCACAATGTTTACCAACAGGAGATTATTGAGCAAATAACAAATGAAAGTGAGTGCGGAATTAATGTTGAAATGAACAAAGTGCGCGTCCGACCGTGGATCCTGTCCTGTGTCACCTGTGTGACAGAATGGCAGCGTCACAGCGTTACTGGCGAATCATCAGCACATGGCCATTACATCCAAGCGGCCAGTCCACATCTCCGCTCCGAAATGGTTTGACGAACAACATAATTGATAGCGATCACTCCGTTCCATACTCGTAGTCAATTTAAATGAGAAAGTGAGATAAAGTTGCATAATTATACCGTTAATGGACGAATATCAGGTGGTGCATTCAAATTCTTTACTTAATTAAGTATCTACCTATTTAATTATTGTATCGTGCATCTATTACTACTTAGACCAACCGAGCTATGCGAGCAGTTGACAACTTAACTGTATGAATAAACAGTTTAGGTACTATCGGTTAATACTGTTTGTTGATATTTATTAGATGTAAAACTACCCACTATTTCAACTTTATTGAGCACTTTTAAACTTTGTATCCACCCTTAAAGCACAGGTGATTGGTTTTTATTTTGGCTTGAACATTTTCAAATAAGTTTTAACCGAAATAAAAATACTTTTTAAAAACTTTAATATCTGCCCGTGATCGATAAAGTGCAGCTGTTATCTGGTTCGGTGACTTAAGCCTTCTATCTATCGGTAATATGCTAAACAAACAACGTTGGTTCCGCTACGTCAATTTGTCGATGTTCTAATTGAGTCGTTAAGAGCTGCCGATAACTAGCGATGAAAACGCGATAGCCGCCACAGCCACATATCAATCTGAACGGGTTGCCGCCCAGACTTTCGCGGGAATTAATTCATTCCTCTCCAAGTTTTATTAAAATATGTAAGTGCAAGAAGCGTGAAACAATTTTCTTTTTGTGGTTCGCTCGTCCGTCGGCCGAGAGTGGTTAGTCTGTGAGGAGTGCATGGGCGTCGCGGTCGTCCGCTCGTGTCTTACCGTGCTGCCGATAGTCCGCCGCCGTCCGATACTAACGCCGACGCGGGTGTCTGTCGCTGTGATCGTGTTGTTATGGAACCAGTCGGCTGCTGAATACCCACGGGAAGATGCACATCCTGGAGATCGGTGCTGACCAAGTAATTACGTGATATTTGTATACAAACAGTGGTAGAAACTGAAAGTGTCTCGAGTGCGTTCAACTTTGAATGCAGTGGTCATCAACTGTTGATGTATCTAATTATCATAACGCACAACTACCTTACAATGTTTTTTTTATAAGTGGATGTATTGTTTCCATTAATTGCTAAACTTCACATTCTTCTAAGATTTTTTTTTTATATTTGATGGGGCGACGTTTGACCACTATCTCACCTGATGGTAAGCGATGATGCGGTCTACGATGGAGCACGTCGTCCCATAAGCAACCTATTCACTCGGGCCTTGAAGACTCCCAGGTTATACCTAAAAAGATGAATATATTTACTAAAAATACCACTTGGTAGGTTTTATCTATTTTTTTTTAGTTTAATTATTGGTCTACCTACTAAGATTGTGGCCTTTATTTGTTTACAATATTTTTATAAATTTTAAGTGGTAGATAGGTAAGTACCTACCTACGTTACCCCATTTCAAGCAAATATGCAATGCAATTTATTATTTATCAGATAATATATTCATATCGATACAATCGCATACTCAAACGCATTTCAAATGAAGTAGGTACTTTATATATCTTTATGCTCTATTTCTCTTGTGGAGAGAGTAGAACCAAGCAGTATCAATGTTACTGGTAACTTAAAACCCTCAGTAAAGCTTAATTTACATAGTTATATTAACCAATGTGAAAGTCCTTAAGTGGGTACTTACAATAGACGGTACATACATAGTACTAGTAGGTACGTAATAAGTAGGTACGCAGGCAAGTATTTAAGCAAATACTTACCTGTATCGTATCCGAATATCTTATGTATTAGTCAGTGGCGTGCACAGATTTTCGAGACAGGGTAGGCAACTAAATATCGTATGATTAAAGCCCTCCCCCCCGGTCATACAATCATACTCCTACAAGACAGGTACATGTATAGAATACATTTTGTTGAAAAGTGCGTTCAAGAATATTGTGGTTTATTCTTTCGCCAAATTACATACACTGACATCTCGCGTATTTTTTGTAAAGTACTACATCAGCTATCGAATAAGCCAACAAAACTTACAAATAATGAAGCATCTATTTATTATACTAATAATAAATCATAAATTTGATGAACCAAATTCAATTATCAAATTGCTAAATAATCTATTCAAAATCATAATTACGAATTTAAGAACGTAGGTACCTACCAACAAACAAAACAACAACAAGCGCGGCCGGCTGTGGCCGAGCCGAGTATAAGCGGTACATTTGTTATTACATTACATAATTATTAATAATAAATTAATATGTAAATCAAAACAACCCGAGGTATAAGTTGATATTTTTAAGAATTATCAATCAATAAACAAGAACATATATAAAAGATCCATTATAGTACCTACACTATTTACATTACCTACCTTTGACTTGGGTCAATTCTCGTAACTTGAGTTCTGCCTATGGTCATTACCTGAATCTAGTCGTTATAGGACACATTTTTGCGAAAACTTACTGTTTTTAACTTTAAACAAACACAAAAAATTACCTATTATCAACACAAACTTCACAATCGAATAATATACTAGACACTGATAAACAAATACACTATTTGAAAAACCGACTCATATATTTTACTACTTCTACACATATTTATGCAACTTTATGTTTAAAACTAATTCCTTATAATTTAAACAAAAACATAAACAAAGCGATCGCACATCACATGAAAACAATATGGCCGAAAACATTGGAAAGTCATTACCCATCGTAGTCAATTGAGTGTTTATTATAAAAAAATTATAGCTAAAACATTAAGGCAACACAGTGTTTAATTATAAAAAAAACAAAACGTTAATTTACATAAGTCAAATGGAATTGCATCATTGTCTTATTATTATTTTCCAATAAGAAACATTCGTTGATAATAATTTGAAACTTTGAGTAGCGGCAACTTGACGTTTCGATAACTTCCTTTTAACTTTTAAAATAATAAAGTCAACTCCTCGTTTAAAGTTTCTATAAAGCGACAACGCGTAAAAATGTTAAGATTTAATTAAAACACCTGAAAATATTTTTTTTAGTATGCATAATTATAAAAAGACATTCCCATTATACCGAACGCGTTCAGAAGTTTTAACAAAAAATTCAATAGATGGCGCAGATTCACAATTTCATCAAGTCCGGCTAGATTGAATCGTGTAATAATTTTTTGCGTTTATGAATGGTTATTCTGTGCTGTGACCATAGTCACGTGACCTTCACGCATGCGCGTTGCATACTTTTTGTGACGTCACAACCACCAACCAAGATTTAAGGAATAGCAGCGCATGCGTGGTGCGTGCGGCGCGCATTCATTGCTTTACAAAGGCGTGCGGTCCGTGTATAGTATATGAGAATGTATATTTATGTTAGCCGTTTTTTACAAACTTTTATTATATTATTGAATCTTAATAAACGCGTTAGTACATTTTATGTCAAGCAAAGCCTATTTGCCTATATGGACTGCACGCCACTGGTATTAGTAGGACATTGAGTACCTACTTGAGTTGCGCCGGAATCAAACCAAAGACGCCGATTTGTATAAGAACCTGAGTGTCTATCTATGTCCACGAGCTTAAAACTTGACCAAAACACACCACTGTATTAAAATTATTTATATTATACTTACAGCTAATTCATGTATGCCTGTATCAGTAACTTAACATTGAAATGGGTAGGTGCCAACTCTTGCGTTCGTCATTTTGTTTGGAACGTTTACTCAAAGAATGCCAACACTAAGATGTTTCTCTGCCATGCCGGTTTGTTTAGAAACTTTAGAACAAACAAACACATCACATCCCGTTCCAACAACTTAACTAGGTAGATATCATACAAAAACGCCCTGTTCAGAAATCAACCCGAGACGAGACATGTTTCGTCGCATAAACCGTACATTTAGATTAAAAAATATCAATTCATTGTTGTGAAAATGAAACATTTTTCGACTTATAATCACAAATTTTATAAAAGAACTTCCGCCTAGCCCAGTTGCAACATAAATTATAATTACGATATGACAAAGCTCTATAATCTACAATGCTCTTTATTATAGAAATTACAAAGCTAATGCCTTTCATAAGTAGATGGGTTACAAAAGTTGGCCAGTAGCCGGCACACCCACGGGTCTATTGTCGTTGTTGGACGACCTACTACAATCCACTGACGGTCGTCCATTTATCCAACTTATCCAATATGTCCTTGAGACGCTCCTACTTGGTAATCTGCCCTACCCTACATTATTGCCTATCAAAATAAAGGGGTTCCGTAATTTCAGTCGTTAGTCACGCCTTTATTTTGCGAAACAATAGTCTAGAATAATAGAATACATTGTGTTTCTGAATTCTATCTGAATAAGTGAACAATCCGAACAATACAATTGAGGTGTTATTCTCAGAGCTCGTATTGTGCTAGATCTAAATTGTTCTAGTGATGTTTGTTTGAGTTGTGAAAAAAGATGTATGTAGGTGTAGGTCCACCTACATACATAACTTTTTTGGATCATTATCTACTTACTGTATTTACTGGTTCCTACGGTTGCAGTAATCACAAATACGCACTGATAAACTCTAAATAGATTATATCTATTCTGAGTACTATTTCATAAAAAGAAGATATCTACGAATTTTTTTATTACTTTCCTCCTTAATAATGAATGTTCATTATTTATTACTGCAGGATGGAGATGAAAGTGGTAGCGCACGCGCTGCTGAAGCAGCATTTCGCACAGTGCCCCGAGACCACACTACGTTCCTTGTTTGGAGAATCACGGTGAGCCATTTTATCATACCTAGGTACTTAGTATTTTTAAAAATCAGGTTTAATTAATATTTCTTTTGGTTGGACTGATTTGCGAAAAGAACGTCACCATTACAAACATAAATATCGTCCTTGATCGTACCTATTCTCGAGCTACATGTAAAAGTGACTGTCACGTTTTCCACCAAGCAACAATAATGAACTTAAATTGACCTATCACGCGAGACGTTCGTAGCGCACATTCAATTACATTTGATACTTAGGTACAGATACATAACTACACGCCACAGTTTTTGCTCGAACATAACAAATTTCGCTTTCACTGACGAAGACAAAAGTATACTTAGTTATAGTCATCATCTCGTGCTGTATGATTGCTGTCATTCAGATTTTGTTCAGAGTATTACAGACACACATGTATGTACGCATTGTTAATTACGACTGACGTAAAATGTTTCACGAATATTGTAACATCATCATATAAACGTCGTGTGCAATGTGCAAAATGGACAATTACAATTTATTTTTAAACGTTCTTCTCTCATTTTTGTATCCGAATGCTTACTGAGGATGGCCGATGGTGTAATCCGTTTTCATCACTTCTTTACTCTTCTTAGAAAACTCCGTACTTTCTTTAACAGAGCTAGTGATTGAATCCATCGATGGCAGTTAATTTAACTTTAGGTGGAGATAAACCAAGTTCGGTTCAATTAACTGTATTTGAAACTGTACAAAACTTAATTAACTTAGCGCAGGTCTGGAAAGTTAACCACAGGCTAAATCATTTAGCAACACCATCGGCAAAATTCTTTTATAAATATTTAGTTACCAAGGTATTTATTGTAGTCCTTTGAAGTCCTATTGCCAAATATTGCTTTGTGGGTCGGTACAGTTTCAGACATCGTGTCGTGCCAAAATTTTTGAAACCGAAATGATCAAGATATTGTTCTGATAAGTCAATGAACCCTTTCTTGACACAAAATCGCAACACAATGAAAGATAAGAAAACATGTTTTTATTCATTAAAATTATTTATTCAAGATATTCAAATTATTGTAACAAAAGAAAAAAATATTTACGCTTTTAACAGTGTGCGTGATCATTTCCTTAATTTAGTAGAACGTGTGAAAGGTCAACACAGTAAGCGATGTTTTCTCACCAAACCCATACAATAACGATTGCAGACAAATGTCGAAACGGTGATCTGTCTACATTTGAAGATTTCTTGAGAACAAACTTTTACATTTCCAAACATCACCTTTATTATAAAAATCTTTATGTAACGAGCGAGTACTTTACTTAACTGTAATTAAGTTCACAAAGCTATTGTCTCATACTATTACTCATTCGTCAGTACCTACCTATTTACTTCCAAGCCGAGTATTGCAAGTGTTAATTTAGATAGATTTGCCTCTAAGCAGATCTAAAGACAAATAGGTATTTGTGTACGTGAAAGTGTTAATTGTATTCCCCTTTGTGTTTATTTCTATTATGACTCATAAAATATACGTAGATAATAGAAAGGCTATTATAGTCTGAGTAATCAATCTCTAGGAAACTGTACGCAGAACACTAGAAATTGAAGCAAAATAATCCACGTGTTTTTGTTGCAAAATACGTCTAACTGATAATGGTAATAATTCTCCCGATACAACAGAGTGACAAGAGAAAGTATAGAATTCAACATAACGATAAATTGCAGCGAGATGCATGCTAAGCGGCATGGACGCTGCGCGGGCGCACCACGCTTATTAGCCGCGCGCAATGCGATGCAAACATTCGTCCAGCGGTCCAGCCATCATTTACAACCACATACACAAGAATATTATTACCATTTTATCGTCCATTACCTACTTTCCGATGCATTTTATATCTGTAATGCACCTAACAAAATTGATTCTCTAGTAATTCGACGGCATTACCAGACGGCATACAATTGCCTTTGAATTGCTATTTTGATTTGACGTGACTTTCTATATTTATAAGTGTATACACATATATTGCACATATTCATTTCTCGGTTATGTATAAAACCGAGAATATGTACACAAAATTAGTGAGCATAATGCACACTAATTTTATATTCTATTCCGGTCCGAGCTGAAAATAAATTATTATGACCATGCATGCATTGATATCCCTGACCATGATATTCGGTATTATCATTTCCTATGTTGGATTGGTATATATTATACGAGTTAGTTGGTAGGATCCTAATGAAAAAGTAATTTAAGTTTAACAAACACGCTGTTTACGGCAATTAATAATTTACTAATTTACAAAAAACAGCAATAAATCGCTTGCAGACTTCTCGAAGTGTTAATAACAGTAGGTAATGAACACATAAACTGACGCGTGTTGGGTATTTATTAAACCGCTTAAAATTTTTAAAACTCTTATTTGTTTGACGGTTACGCGATGTTAAATAAATCTTAATAAAACAGGCCGCTTGTAATTTATTTCGTCTGTTCGTAGATGCACCTTTCGTGTTAACAATTTCTCCAATAAATTAATTAACTGGTGTGCTCTATAAAGATAAATAATGGCCGAGTGCGAGACTTGTATTGTAACGGAAGACCACTGTTGGCACAGATAATAATATTGTTGTTCACAGGGTTAGCTAAACACCCAATATTCAACTTACGAACCCAAATGTTCCTTAAAAGTAGGTCCTACCTTTCTACTTCTGGATCTAAAAAACTGACCTGAAATTCCCACCAAACAACTGTAAACCAGGATCTACAGTAGGTACCTACATTAATTGAGTGTTGTTACAATTTTGAAGCGTGAAACTAGCCATCAACAAAACACCCATTGAATAGTACAACATTTATCATGCCACGTGTCCCCAACTGTCAGTAAATTAATTACAGCAAATTAAAATACGCGCTTTCTATTTTTCTGTAACGGATTAAAACCACTTTTATGTCTTATCTATGAGAAAGTATGTTTGATTGACAGATATACTATGATACAATAAAATGATAATTTTATTGAAACGAAAAAAAATGCATTGTTTAACGTCTTGAGGTTTGATTGTATCATGAGATGATAGTGTTAATCTTCCTATTTTAGTCACTACCTGATACAAATATCTCAAACTAGGAAAGGTACGTATTTAAAAATATTTCATTTATTTGGGAGAAATTATGATATTTTTGTAAAGAAAATAATAATGTAGCAGCCCTGAATTTTGCCATTGGTGGTCGAGTGAGTCACATCACGTCTTAGTCCCGCTACGTGGACGGGGGAACTGGGCCCGCCAGACCGCGACTGAGCGATTTTCAACTTAACATTACAATACAAACAAAGATGGCTATCAGTCACGGAAATTCTTAACATTAAAGAACTATTACTTTGCTTCAGAACTACGTGTGGGTACCCGCTCACTTACATTGAAATAACCTGGGAATCTTGATGCTAATGTGCTTTTTTGCAATCACGGTCTCTATTCAGGATACTCAAATAAACAGATAATTGTGATAACTGTTTATAAGTATATCACTTAAAACTTATTATTTTAATATTATGAAACCAATTAGCAACTCCATTTCAAACTTGTATTTTATCATTCTTACTCCTTTCTCGATCTCTTTATTTAGATCGGTCTGTCTTCGACTCGGTCTCTAGATACCTATCATTTACACAGAATTTGATACCAATGTCTTCGTTACGTTTACCTACTGCGTACCTACAATTTAATTGGGATCATCAATTGAACAGTCAAAACTATGTAACTAGAACAAATAGTAGGATATAAAGCGTATACTGAACTAGACAATAACTTATCTTATTTCTCGTTTTATGTTTTTATTAATGCTGTGATTTGCGTTTATCAAAGGTTGGGATCTTAGAAAGTTTTGAAGTATGCAACTGTTACGACTGTATCTCCTTATAAAACAACAACACACAAATGTATACAGATACCAACCTGTCTATCTAACTATGCCTCCCCCAGTATGTTTGCTCGACTGAACTAATTACACTGCAATTCCGTCAGAATAAAATTACCATACGCATAAAATGAATAAACATAATATGCGGCTAACTGCTCGAAAGCGTATTAACAAAAAGCAGATCGCGTGTAATTAAAACATGTGGATTATCTTGTGTTTAGTGTCGTGATATAACGCCACTGAGAGCCGCACTCGCATGCCGTCGTAATTGTGCATCACTGCACGAATGGCCAATGACGTTCCATTCAGAGAAGCAGTGATCGCCGGCACCCACGATTTGGTTTTTCACAAAATACTTCAAACACTATTTGGATTCAGCACATTTCAGATATCGTATTTCGCTTCAGAGAGCGTGACACATTTTGATTATGACATTCAAGTGTACAAATTACTAGCTTCCTACTCAATACAATCAATTTTATCCGTATAATGTCCAGTGCACACGCATCCGTAGCCATTGATTAACTAAATTAAACCGCTCGATAATAACGGTTACAAAATATAAATGTTGCATTGTTTATTTTTTTGTGATAACGGTAGACGCGCCGGCGCAGACAGCCAACAATTTGGATCAAGATTAATAGCCAGAACTATTGTAAACGCTGATTTCTATTTATTTTGTAAGTTACTGGCGTTAAGTTGAGGTTCCACATCACTGACCTTTCTTGAGCAGAAAATTTTTTTTGGATTAAGGTTATCGTCTGTACCTATTAAAATCGGTAAAGGTGATACAAAATACACTTATATTGATCATTTTTTAAATGTTTCTGGTTTTTAGGAATCGAACACTGAATTGTTGCCACGCAACCACTACGGCACATTCTACGACGCTGAGGCTTACTTGGTATACTCCTGTTCCCTACCTGGACAGCCAGCTGGCCCTGATGTCATAGTAGGTATCCAACCAGAATCCCAGATAGTTGAGATAGTTAGGAGCGTCTTCTCAACATTAGTCTGTTAAAACAGTAATAAACATTTGTACGATTCATAATTCCTAATTTTTTACTAAATTGTCTATTAGCCATGGCTGTATAATTGTACTACAATTGATTCAGTGCCTCCTCAATTACCTTCGTCTTACCATAACTACATGCATATTTATGTAACAGCGCAGAGAAATAAAGGAGAACGGCAATGGGGAGCTACTAGAGCGTCACATACACTCCTGGGGTGGCGAGCGAAGCGGAGCCCTGGCAGGACTTGCTCTACGTCGCGGCATTCAGCTCGCCGCCTACCTCGCCGCCCCTACTGTTATACACCGAGAGGCTGTTACCAAAGAAACCCCCAGACTCTTATCTTACTTTAGAGACGGGATAAGGTAAATAGAGAATATTTGAACAGATGAATATGACACACTTTTCCCTTAAAAAATACTTAGATATCATAAAAAAAATCCATTAGTTGTTCAACACTTGCTAATATGTTCAACATAGCAACCTCACAGAAAACCGACGTGAAGCAACGCTTGCGTTGTTTGGTCGTGTGAGTGAGGTTACCGGAGGCCCAATTACCCTCCCCTACCCCAATCTCCCCAATTCCTGAATCCTTAACGATCCTCAAACTCCTAATCCCCAAAAGGCCAGTAACGCGCTTGTAACGCCTCTGGTGTTCCAGGTGTCAATGGGCGACGCCGATTGCTTACCATCAGGTGATCCGTCTGCTCGTTTACCGGCTTATGCCATAAAAAAAGTAAATCTATTTTATTATTTAAAACAGAATCCTCCGAAGCGGCTCGGCTAACCTGAACGGCACTGCCCGTCTGTATCGAGTGCGCGGTCGCCGACCAGTTCTGGTGCAATTAGAGCCGGTCTCGTGGTCACAGCTGGCTACCGATGGTGTCTTCGTCCTCGACACCTCGTCGCTACTAGTTCTGTGGCTCGGTCGGACCGCCAATCTCGTCGAAAAGATATTTGGAGCCAAGGTTCGTAGCGTTACGGTTGACGGAGTCGAATTGAAATTCCAGGCTTACGTATTTAATTAATGTTAATTTCCTGTAAAATAATTAACGTATTTTTTCATGAATCTAAAACAACTACATACTTGTAAAAACCTTTTTAAAGCAATTTAAATCATGAACAGATTGCATACCGGATGGCTCGTGGAGCGGACAAGGGCATGATGGCGCGACGGATAGCTATTGCTCATGATGGGTACGAGCAAACATTGCCTGCGTCCGACCGCGCCCTGCTGGATGCACTGCTGGAGCTGCGGGCGCGAGCACTGCGCCCCGCGGCCCCGCCCGCCGACCCGCCGCGACCCGCGCGCCTCTACCGCGCCACACAGCCACCCCGCGTTGCACCTATCACCGTGCCTTCTCAACGACCTGCTGCAAGGCTAGAAGAAATCAAACGCGCACCCCTGTTCAGAGAGGACCTGGCTGATGATGTAAGTGATTTAAAATTAATGGCAATGACAGTCAGGCGTTTCCCATACTTTAATCCTGTAATACTTATTTCAATAAATTGCTCTACCCAGCCACTGTTACATAAACCGAAATATCCCAAACCGAGATATCATTAGTCATTATACTTTTTCAATTGACTTCAGGGAGTGTATATAGTGGATAGCGGCAGTCGTGGTGTGTGGGCGTGGGTGGGCCCTACTGCGACGGGTGCAGCGGCTCGTGGTGCTTTGGCAGCGGCGCGGGGACTGGCTCGAGCGCGGCGCATGACGGTGCCAGTGTCGGCAGCCCCCGCCGGCCGGGAGCCCCTGGAGTTCGCAGCATTGTTCCACAACTGGCGCTGGTGTGATGCAAGGCGCGACGGAAGACTCCGTGCAGCTCGATCTGCTACCACCAGACTCGATGCCGTCAGTCTCGCTACAAATGCCTGGCTCGCTGCTGAGGTAAATAATTTGACAACTTGTGAAATCTTTGATAAAGCTTCTACTCGTTATAATTGAATGGCGGCATCAAAACATGTGTAGAGTAAGCCACGAGACTACAATGTAACAATATGGATATGGCTACAATGCAGGCTCAGCTGCCGGACGACGGGTCGGGCGCGCTGCGCGTGTGGCGCGTGCGGCGGCGGTCGGGCGACGCGGAGGACGTGAACAAGGAGGCGCTGGCCGAGGTGGAGCGCGCGCAGGCCGCCGTGTTCTACGACAGAGACTGCTACATCGTGCTCTACACATACCACGCGCCCACCGGCGACCAGACCGTGCTCTACTACTGGATGGTAAATTTTTATCATACTTCCTAACTTACTATTACCTTACGTAACCTCATCTTTGCAGTTATAATCCTAACAACTTAACATTACAGGGTGGCTCTTCGCCCAATGATCTGAGGAATTTGGGCGCGAAAGAAGCCAAAGACCTCTACACCAAATTAGGGCGGTCTCCAGTACAGGTACTACAGCTTTTTTCATAATCACAATTAACATCACGCCTTTTATCCTCAAAGGGGTAGGCAGAGGTGCACATTATACCACTGTACAATGTAACACCCACTTTTCACTATGTATGTTATGAGTCCCATGTAATAGGGGGTGAGCCTATTGCCATATACCGGGCACAGTTCCAGACTCCGTGCTACTACTGAGATTTTTTTTTAAACCCAGTAATGTTTGCCCGACCCGGGAATCGAACCCGAGACCCCTTGCTCGGCAGTCGCAATTGCGACCACTCGGCCAACGAGGCAAATTCATCTTATAAAATTAAATATCATAAAACTGATTCCTTTTAGGTGATATCACCTAAGCGGACAAGTACTTCTTGGAGTCCTCATGTCACCATATAAACCGTAAAATTAATAAATTATTAGTTTTCAATATCTTAAGGTATTGAAAAGCCGGAACAATTTATTTTTACTGAGGAAACATTCCAATTTTCAGGCATGGGTGTATCAAGGAAAGGAACCCGCACACTTCCTTCAGATCTTCAAAGGTCGAATGATCACATATGTCGGAAGTGCTACGGATTATGATCGTAAGTATTTACTGAATTTATTTAATTTCTTTATTCACACAGTCTTTGATCTATTCCTGATCATCAATTCATTCTCAGCCACAGGACGTCGTGTGTTGGCTCCGTCTCGTGTGCTCATCCGCGTGTCGGGACAGTACGCACGCGAGGCGCGGGGCGTGGAGGTGCGCGACGGGGGCGCGGGGGGCGGGGACGCAGGCAGCGGGGGCGCGTGCTACGTGCTACGTGACGGGGCGCGCGCGTGGGTGTGGTGCGCCGCCAGCGCCACGGGAGACGAGCGAGAGGTCGCCAAGAACATGGCCGCCACTGAACACACGCTTGTCATGCAAGGTCAGAATCCTTCAAAATCAAAACCGCATCTGTCTTTCCTGAGTAAGTCGGAATAAAGATTCCTTCAATTTTAAACTTAGGCTGATCTTGAAAACATACCATTCCCAGGCAAAGAGAAGCCCGACTTCTGGACAGCTCTGGGCAATCGTCGTCATCTACTGGTGCCGTCTCCATTGAAGGAAGTACAACGTCCCTTGCCACCGCGTCTATTCTACGTATCTCTGGGAGTACCAGCCCAATATTCATGTGAGTACAAAATGCTCATAGTGGGCACTACGGCACCGGCACTATACTCATTTTTAGGTGCATGTGCAGTATGCTCCCACACAACCATTAAAAAAAAATAGTGGGCCGGGCCCCAAGCACTAAAATGATTTTATTGTAGAGTCTGACGTCAATAATAGACAACAATATTCGTTGGGGATGAAGATCCCCAACGAATATGAAGATGGGGAAGCCCATGGAAGTGTATTTATTCAGCCATCACAGCTGAGTAAGTAGTCGAAGCAGTAGGTACCGAGTGACTGACTAATTTTTATTATTACGCATTTATTACTTAACTTCAAAATAATATGTTGCTTACCTCTGCAGTCGAGGAGATAGTGTCGTTCAGTCAGTACGACCTGGCGCCCGAGATGGTGGGCGTGGTGGACGCTCACGACGCAGTGTTCGTGTGGCTCGGTCAGCATTGTTGCCCGCGCGCTAAGGAAGATCCTCGGTCCATTGCACTCGCCTATCTCGCACAAGGTGAGCTAACTTTTCAAACTGGAATACTAATATTAAACTGTCAAACACCAAGCGGTCACCGGTGACCGCGACCTATTGTTCTTTAATTGTGTCTATAAAACCGGTACTCGACGAGTTAAGATAAACATTTTTTCATAGTAGTTTGATGAATTTCATAACATTAAATAAAAAAATAAAAAATGTAATTACGTAATATTATGTGTGAATAGATCCAGCTGCACGAGACGCATGCACACCAATACTGGCGCTAAGTCAGGGACGTGAGCCACCACATTTCACCGGTTTCTTCCCACTTTGGAAGCAGTCCATGTGGAAGGTAAACTTTACAGAAGAATGTTCTCTGAATCAATGTTGAATCTTCAAAACACCATTCATTATTTATGGCAGATGTATTTTTAAAATTAACTTTACTTTTGATTAAAGGGTCATAAAACGTTCAGTGCGATCATCAGTGCTTTAGAAGGCAAAGCTATTATCCAAAGTGGCAACAGCGCAATACAAAGCGGCAACAGTGCTAACCGCTTCGATCAGTACGAGAAATATCCGCTGGCAGTCCTGAAGGGGCCTAAGGATCACTTGCCACCAGACGTTGATCCTCTCACCAAAGAGGTAACAACACCACTTCTCTTGTAAATTGTTATCTTTCTATTGCATTGTTACTTAAACAATAACCTTTGAATTTTAATTACCACAACTAATAGACGTATACGGCAATCACATGCACGGATATTGTAGTTGATTGCTCAACGAATCTTTAGATATCGAGTCTCACAAAATATTTTCAATTACTTTTCTAGCTCTACTTGACTCACGACGACTTCGTGTCTACGTTCAGCATGCCCTACAATGAGTTCCGGTCACTACCAGGTTGGAAGCAAAAGGACCTCAAGAAGTCGGTTGGATTATTTTGAAGCATAAAAAATACTTAAAATAATTATGATGTCAGTCTGAGCGTGTTTTGTTTTTGTCAAAAGTTTATTAAAAATTGTCTGTCATATTGTTATCGATTGAATGAGTTAATGAATGTTGTAAATTAATAAAATAAAATTACCAAAAAATATTGAATTTCATAATTTACATAATGTTAATAAAAAAATAATGTTGAAATATAAGGTCACGACCTGTCAACCTACAAGATTTTACCACTGTGGACGTATAATTCACCAACCACCACACACTGAACCCTATTGTAATATTAATGAAGATATTTTCGATACTTATAGTCCCGCACAAGGACGTTGAAAACTGGCGGACATAATTTTACGTAGAAATGATTGAAGCACCAAAATGTTAGTAGGTTATTTATGTATGTGTGCATAATGGGTTACCACGTCATCAGACTAAAAAAAATGATAATGTCGTGTCTGTGTATGGTCTCCGTGTCTAGTAACGATGCCACAGTCGTTGTTTCAAGAGACTGTGTCCGCCTATTTTTTCAACGTCCTGGGTTCCACAAATAAAGTTAATACATCATTTGTTGCGACTGGTTAGTGGAACAACAAAGTATTAATAAAGTATTTTTTACTTTCATTCTTTGGTGGTCGGGTCGTGTTTCGAAATATCATATCACTTAAAATATTACGTAAAATAGTAATTATTATTGCACTGGTGTTTAAATTAATTTAATTATGATAGATGTTGTGTTTTTGTTAATTTATATTACATCTTTTGTCACACAAATAAGGAATTTAAATAACTGTTGAGGTAAATATAAGCTATTTAGGAAAGTAAAATAAAACAATGAGTTTTAAAATGTTATTTTTATTTTAAAAATAGTACTTATTAGCTATTGGGCATTAATTACCTTAAAAATAATAATCTTTACAATTTACAAGTTTTTCAAAATCCATAAAATATCGGTTGAATTGAAAGCGTATTTACACTATAATAATGACAGTTATCATAATATAACCCTATGTGATATGGGGTGAGCCGTAGCTAAGGCACGTTGTATTAGTATCGCGTGTCTCTACCGAGCCGTGCGCGTCACTCGACACGCTCCACGCTCCACTACATTACAGCAATGAATCAAACCATATTCCAAATATTATATTCAATATCATAATAATATTTTATAAAACATACGATGAATTATACGAAATGTCCTCTATCAGCAAAAAGCTACTTGAAAAAAAAACTTTACAAAATATGAAAAGCTAGTTAGGAACTTACAATTTTAGTAGATAAATAAAACGTTACAATAAATGATTTAATTCGATAATAAATAATTTACATAATGGTTTTACATTATATCAGTTATTGTTATATAAGACAATTTGGGAGTATTTCTATAACCGCATCGAATTATAAGGCTACGGTTGTCGGGAAAAATACTCCCGAAAAATGTCATCTAGAATAGCAAAATCAGGTTATCAGAATTATGCATAGTAAATAACAATATTATTATTATTACATGGAATTAATATTAATGACGAGACATGGAACGAAAAACGCAGGCTTAGAGTCCAAAATAAACAGCTCTTTTTGTAATTTTTCAAAGTTCTTTGGTAATAATAAAACCGAACACATGAAACACAAAACACATTTCATGAAACCATATGGAATGAAGTGCACGAACAATAGAATGCATAAGCTGCCGTAATAAAAATAAAATGCATCTCAAAAATAAGCGTAAACACTACGACGTAATTAATTGCAAATTTTTAACTTTTAAGTACGTACAATTTTAAATTCGCATGTCAACATGAATTAAGAGATTGTTCCAAACTTACATCTACAAGAAAAACAAAGCAATAACTGGATATGCGATAGAACAGAGAACTTGAGTCAATATAAAACTAAGGAAAACAAAACTCAACATAGTTTTCGTTGCAGGAATGTAAACAATGTGTAGAGCAATATTAAACAGGATATTTTATAATATTTAACAAGAACTAATAGTAACAACAATGCGTCGGAGGCCTGATTCTTTCTAGCACCACGGCTGTCGGCAGTCCAGTCCAAATTAACAGTAGGCTAACTCTCCCAGTCTCGGTAGTCATTAAGGTAATTTGCCAAGAATACATTAAATACAACCTTCATTATTATTATTATACAAATACATATAATATGTCTTTTTATTATCCCCTGTATTGTAGACGTTAACTTTAACCGAGACCAAGCAGTCAATATTGTAACTGTCACCCCGACTGGACGTCCAACAAAGACACGACTATTTATCACAGCTATCCAAAGCCTTCACACATTACACGAATCGATCGCCTATCCCTCTACGTCACTTATCGTTTATCGATGCAGAAACTTGAGATTGCTGAACCCACTATTATCCGTATGAAATCCAGTAATTTAATGTTATTGTTTTGTGTAAACGTTTCCCTGCCTAGGGCTCGGGTTTCGACACTTGTAAAAACACATTGACATAAAATAAGTATAGTTGTGAACAATTCCAACTTTTGTACTTTATTCTCACAACTTAACGAGATTTATTGTACACGAGATTATAAGGCCTATTAAAAATTGGTGTTTCAAAATTTGCTAATTACACGATACATCTAATAACATATTTGTTTAGGCCTAACGATATATTGTAAAAGATATAAAGTTAAATAGAAGGCTACACGCTTTAGAGCCGACTGGTGTTTCAACAAATGAGGCAGTTTGGCACTTAATATTGGTACCATAACAAATATAAGACACGGTGTATTATTGCTTCAAAATTACATTTCTCAGCTCGACATTGCAAGAGAAGATTTTGTACAGTTAGTGTTGCAAAATGAAAAGAAAAATATTTAACAAACTTTCGTAGAGCAAATTGCGTTATCTAATTATTTAATAATAAGCTCAGCAGTTCACTACACGTTAGTCTAGAATAAATTGATCTTGTGATTCAAGGAAGCCCATTCAGAGTCTTACATAATTAAGTAACATTCCAGAATTTAGTACAAGAACTAGGTATTTCACTTGAGCAATTATATTAATGAGACAATTCGCTAAAAACAAAAACACCTATGGCACGGTTTCTTCGTTAGTCTGCAACCCTTACGCGTTGTGAATGTCTTACTGTGTACTTAATCTACTTAAGGGTCCCCTGAATCATTTTGTATAATTTTCTATATTTCCATTACATGATATATGTTTAACTAGATTCTTTAACAATACTAAAAATTGGTAAGTCAATTCCTGTAAGGATCAATTCCCACATTTATATCTAAATGTATTAGTATGAGTGCAATCCCAGAGTAAATATGTTTACTTGTTGTAACCGAGTCACTCATTACTTGTTTTGAATCAGGATAGTCAAATCCCACTTATTACGGATCCAGTAAAAGTTTCTCGTACGATACCTATACATATACAACAATAGTATCCGATTTACAACATACTGAAAGATAAACATTATGTGCTGTTAAAAATAAAAACGTAACAAAATACATTATAATAAAAATGCTCTACTGGTTTAATAAATTGTACAAAAATATTGTTGAAAAATAACCAGTTCAATTTATGTCACATTAAAACTCATTGTATTGGACTACTTGGCGCTGAGAATGATCAACCATATTAATTCGTTTCTATATGCCGTTATTTAGCTCCAGAGACTTATTAACATCGCCGAGACCTCAAAAACTACACATGTCAATCAAACGCAACTTAAGTCTGCTCCCGAGACTGCAATATAAGTATAAAAACATAATAATATCAACACGGTACTAATATTTACATGACCCAGTTCTAGTGAACCAAGAAAATATTAGCTTTCTTCTATACAGCACTTGTCTAACAAGCTGATGTCGTATAACATTACATTAGCTCGCAACCGATGCACACGTTAGCACCATTGCATCCTTCAGTGAGATTTCATCATGACAAATCAGCTTCTTCAAAAACAATATTAAGAAAAACTATCTGATGTAGGTAAAATTTTTGATAAGTACAAAATATTAATATTTTCAATATCTATCACAGCAATCATGCCGAAATCTTATAAAAATTTTGGACAAAAATACTTAAACTTATTTAAGACTAGTTAATTTACAAGTTTTATGTAATTTGGATAGAAAAATTGTGAAAGATTCAATAAAATAGTAAATATTGTCAAATGCCAGTGAACTATGCACAGTGTTACTCACTTCACTTCTCAACAATACTCGATTAATGAATTTCCTAGTTAGGTATCCAGAGTACTTAATTAAAAGTACCTCGATCGACAGTACGATAGCATGTTTCGATTAGTTTTCCCAAATAAACAGATTATATTCTAGGTACCATAGAATAAAATGTTCGAAAATAGTGTTAGTAAAAAACCAACGCACGGCGAATAAAGCAAGTCACGAACTATAACCATCAAAACCAAACACGCGAAATGAGAAATTTTAGTAATGGGCGCCAGTACTTCGTCAATTTGTAATGTTTATATAGCAAATACCGTAGAGGGCGTGCGTGCAGTGCAGAGGCTGAATGCCTCACTGGCGCGGCAGCGACGCGTTGGCCGGCAACGTCGAGCTGCGCTGCGACGCGTTCATGTACGCTGACTTCAGGTTAGACCGCATCGAGTCTCTGTAACCAACCGCATCTTAGTTTAAGTTTGACTGTAAGTAACAAACTACGACTCCGATCCGTTTATTAAACGGTCATAACAGTTAACCCTCTTATGTAGAACAGGCTTATAGTCCAGTGGAAATCAGGGACATAGATGATGGTGCTAATGATACACAAGTAATCAAGTTCAGGGATGAGATGTGGTGGCAGTACCTGGGCGAGAGCTTGGTGTGGTCGTGGTTGGTGTGCGCGGCGCGGTACCCGTAGCGCTGCACGCGGCGCTGCAGGCGCGCCACCCAGCGGCGCTGGTCGGGCGCGGCCGGCGCCAGCAGCAGCAGCTCGCGCGCGCGGTCGGCGTGCAGCTTGCAGGCCGCCACGCCCGGCCCGCCCGCGCCCGCCCCGCCCTCGCCCTCCGACACGTGCTCCGCGTGGATCTTCATGCGGCAGCCTGCGCCATTACAATAACAACCTCCATAACGACGGACAACAAGGCGACACGCCTCGACGCCTTAAAACGCCGCGTGACGCGCCGCGCAACGCGCTGCATACTCGTAAATACATAAGTCTGGATTTTCCCACTGTGACTGTGAAACTTGATGATAATGTGAATAAAACGCAAATCAAATCGTATAAAGTGATAGAGCGGAAGTAAATTCAAACAATCTTTACAATCATAAAAAGGAGAGAAGGGAGACGTAGAATATTGACGCGATAAAAATAAAATATAACCACTCACGGCGACACTCGTAGGCTTGCGGCGGCCGGAACATGTGCCAGAGCGGGCGCGTGCAGACCTCGCAGGCCGTGGGGATGTGGTACGTGATGCTCACCAGGTCGTGGCCCTTGTGCTGCACCGGGGTACCTGCGCACACGGTACACTGTACGCCACTGGCGAGTACGATGGAAATATATCGACATCAAAATTAATTCCAATTTCCGAATAAGACAATGTTTTCCAATGCTATGGCGAGTCGCTAACTAAAGTTGTGCCCCGTACAAAACAGGGGCGGGTCGCTAGTAGCTAAAAGAGCTACATTTTAACCGCACTGTGTCCGAACCTGTATCCCGTGCGAGAAAGTGGCCAATCAGAATATTATTACATACATCGCACGATGTCACCCTTTACAATTTGTTCGATTGTGATAAAGTGCATGTTGCAGTATTCATGCTTAGGTTTTAAATCCATTAAACATGCTGGGCATTTGACAACGTCCAAAGCATATAAAAGGTGACAAATGTCATCCACAGTGAGAAATGATGTGAGAGCATTGGAATTCTGAAAAATCTACCACTTGAACTCATTATCAGCGTGCGCGACAATTTAGTAACAGTAACACAAAATTAAATATTTAAGAATGTCAAAATATTGCTTACGATTTTAAATCGTGTTCTTTGTGCTATTCTTAATTGCTTTTTAAATGATAGTGAATAGTGTAAGCTCATATATGACTGTAAATATTGTGCACTAGTGCAAGTAAAGATATGCACTAACTTTGTATATAATCTGCAGCAAACACTACATTAGGAATGCACCCGTTGCTACGCCAGCAGATACGGACGCCACAAACATCGGTCGACTGTCATACTAGAGTAGAATACGTGCTTTTTCACTCATGCTGCTAAAATTTTTTGGACATTTTCCTTTACAATATTGAGCAATTAAAAATGTTCCTGCCATAGGTAAAATAAAAGAAAAATAATATTTAAACCTATTATGGCAACCTAACAAATGTTCTTACAAATAAGACAAGTTTCTTGACAATTATTGTACACGCAACCAATGATGAAGTTATACAGGCTGCGAAACAGTACCCGGCGATAAATATTGCACACCAACTTTTGGAAGTTTGCGTATATTATTGAAGCATTCCATTCGTTTGAGACTAATATCGTGCATTTCCATTAGACATTATCAATTATCTTTGTTTATAGTGAACTGAAATGCTATCTTTATAAGTATTTTTCTTTGTCTTATCGGGACCATTGTAAATAACGTGTCGAGGTGCACTATCCTTTGCCGAGTACTTTATGTATTGTCATACACTTAAAGTGATGTATAGTATGTATGAATAAGTTACCAGCATGGTCCCCCGCCTCTGCAGGTGTGTCGGCGGCGTCCCCAGGTCTCCTGGCCTCTCCCTCGCCTGCATACAAGAGCTGGAAGATGCGCGGGATGTCCTTCGCGTCCGCTCGGATCACGTCGCCCTGGGTCACTGAGCGCACGTGGAACACCTTGCTGCGAGGATATATTGCATTATACTAACACTGTCACACATTATTTTATGTATATTAGTTTATAATTAAACATTCCCGAGAGAACCGAATTTCATGTACAGACTTATTAATGTTCTCTTTAAAAATAATACTAGCATGTCGTTATATTTATGCACAAACCTCAAATCCAAAATCATGACGGGGTCAGTGGTGTTCTGCTTGTCATTCTCGGTGTTGTAGAAGATGATCTTCTTGGAGGAGACGACGACGTACTGTTTCTTCCACCCGTGTCGTCGTATGTTCTGCTTGAATGGTACAGAGAGCCAGCCCTCCAGTGTCTGCTCGGTCTCTCCGTCCTCTGCGTCGGCGGACGACTGCGACGCTGTCTCACTTGTTAGAGCTGCCAGTTTCTCTTTCAGCTGTTCAATCTCTGCATCTTTGCTGTCAACCTACAAATATAAAAATGTGATGTGTAATATAAACGATAGGTATATTGCTATCCCGGAGTGAGGACATGGGTAAAAAAGGAACATTGATAATTTAATTTTATATGAAAAATAAAGAATGAAAAGAATGTGGACTGTCTGCTCCTTGATGTTGTCCTTAGCTTATTTAATAAGGTAATTATGACTTTGATTTCAAACCCAAAGTTACTTAATGTTAAATCTATAGTATAAAGAGTAGACGCACCTCCATGGCGAGTCTCTGTCGCGTGGACTGTTCGTCGAGCAGTTGTTGCTGACAGTCCTGCAGGTCCCGCTGTAGCTTGGACATGTGTTGGTCGAACTTCTCCTTCTCCCTCGTCAGCTCCTGCTGCAGCTTGCGGTAGTCCTTGTCCTTGCGCACTGACATCTTGCTCTTGTTCTTCGTCGCTGCTGGGTTCATGTCTTTCCTGAAAGGTGTATAGAACATTTGAGTACTAACTCCAGATATATCTAAAAAGATATTATTGTATTCCTTTCATCAGGAAAGTCGACAAAATGTAGTTACAGCTGCACAATGCTTGTTTGTATAAACTGGAGTCTGACCTGTTCATGATCTCGGCAAGTTTGTTGACAGCTTGTTGCTTGAGCATGATCTCGGAGTTAAGTTTCTTGTTGAGTCGGTCGACATCTTCCTGCAGTCGCTGCAGCGTGGCCACGCGCTCAGCCAGGGCTGTGCCGTTGCGACGTAACTCGTCAACCTCCTGGAAACAAATGATTATTTAATAAGCTCACAAATATATTTGCTGATGTTGTTCAAGATCACGAGATAAAATTCGCAAAGAAAGAAAACAATATAATTTTGGAAAGATCAATCTTACACCAAATCACGATACCTAATATATGATTCAGCAAAGAAACCTAGTGTGTATACGATTTAGTTATGTAGTTATGATAGAGTTACCTTCCGCTGCAGGTCGATGGTGGCTCTGTTCTCATGGTCCCTGTCCCGCAGCCCCTGCAGCATGGCATCCCTCGCGGCGAGATCACTGCGGTGCTGGGACATGGCGTCACGCATCTCCAGCTCCTTCATTGTCTTCTCCTTTTCCAACTCCCCGACTGTCTCCTCGGCGATAGACCTGCAATATTCAAATAATATAGGTTTTAATTATTTACTTACAGCACTAGTTCTAAAAAATCAACGATTGTATTATTCGAACCAAAGAAACTTTAAACAGATGCCGAAATTACATCTAGATATATGATAATAATTAGACTTATTTGTATATTACAAATATCTCCATCGATGTGAAATACGACAACCGAGTTAAGTTATTCTATTGTTATTTTGGAAGTCAAAATTCAAGTAACGGTGAGTCACCATCACAGTATAAAAGAATTGTTAAGTGTACAATATCACCATCATTTTTTCACAGAAATATTTAAGTGCACATCTTTTCAGTACCAATCTAACTTACAGAATTCGTTAAAAAAATGTAATGATACTTTACAGGGAAACTCTGTTTTCCTTTACTAGATTAGTCATTCACTCACAATGCGCTCCTGTTCGGCGGTTCCTAGTAGAGTGAGTACAGACTACAGACCTGGCGATGGCCTCGGAGTCAGCGCGTGCGATGGCTAGCTGCAGCTGATGCAGCAGACTGGAGCGCTCCTGCTCGGCGTCGCGCGCCGCTCGCGTGTTCTCCTCCAGCATCAGGCGCATGTCGTTGGCCTGGCTCTTGTACACGAAGCAGTAGTGTTGCTCTGTCTCCAACTGCTGCCTCAGCTCCTCGCTCTAATATAAACGACATCAATTTTAATATCAACTCACACCTTTATAGTCTAGTTAATAAATAAAAACATCACATACACAAGACATCCAGTTCCTTGTATATCGTAGTGAAGTCATCTTATTTTCAAAAACAAAATTAAATACGTAAAACAAAACAATTGTTTCGACACATTAAACTCGAGTAGAGTAAGAAGTAAGTTCAATGACTATCTGAATAGAATGGTAAAGGCTACCATGACTGAAATGCAGAACAGAGGGGAGGTCAATTGTGTAACCAATTGAGTAAGAATTTAGTATTTTTTCTTTGGCTATTAGTATTACAGTAGCAAATTAATTGCAGTATACACACGCATACACAGCGCCGGACACGAATTGGTTGACGTCACCTCTAATCGGCACTCTACCGTCGCCTATGAATTTATGGATTTTACTTCTCTAATTATTTTTCTTTATTATATCTACTCAATATTTCTAAATGTTTATCTCAATTTATGGTTAAATAAGATAGTTATAGCGAAAAGAATTATGCATGTCGTGTCATTGGCGTTGCTAGTCTTTGCGTATCTTAAACGGCTACAGGCGTGATGATACGTGTGTATGTTTAAATGAGTCTTCTGTATTTAGCCTATATGGCGGAAACATCCATGTTAGAGAAAGAAGCCCACAACTGGCAATGTGAATACGTGACTTATTATATTACACTATGTTGTTTAGCAGGTAACTATACCTACTATAATATAACTCGGTAGAGTTAGACCATGCTATGTTTTCTCTAGAATTGATTACGTGTATGAGTCATTATTTTTATTGTAGTACTGACATAATCGCGCAGCTACAAGGGATATAAAGCTCGCGTTATAATATTATCTTAACATCTTATTATTCATTAATTGTTACGTTTCTATTTCAAGTGACTCACTTTAGGATAAAACATAAGAGTATGCAATGGAAATGCTTGAAATTACAGCTATAATATTATTAGCAAAGATTAATCGTTTTACGGTGTAACGAATATTTTAATTATTACAAAAAACTATAATATCATTAGTAGTGGGGAGCCATCACATTCAACAAGGTTTTCTGTTTGAATGTACATTTAGCAACACAGTATAATGCTAATTAGAGGTCTGTTTAAGTATTTCAAGTTTGTTATTTATAAGTCGGTGTTTTCACATTGTTATGAATCTACATACAAAGTATGTGTTTAGCTGAAGTGTTCCTAAGAAAACATTACATTTACAATTTATTGTCCAACGATACACATCCCAGTTGAAGATGACCAGGAAATTAACACGACAATAACACATTCCTGTATATTAATGCGTGTCATCATCATAATGGAAGCGTTTTATAGGCATGTCTTCATTGCCAAGGCTCTGTTTGTACAGCACTTGTGTTCAACTAATTCATAACTCTACATTGATTCAACCAACTCTTTTATTACCTACTGCGAATATAGTAATATTCACTTTTGAAGTAATGCACATATTTCCCTATTTTTTGTAACACTACTAATATAATTGTCATCACAACTATTTGTTTCAAAACAGAAAATCCAGCGCACAATACTTGAATGTGTTCTATTCTCAGAACAGTTATGCAACTCATTGGGCAAGCATCTAATCTAGATACTAGGTAAACATTTTAATTCCAGGAAGGAAGCCCTTGGCTTTTAGATAAATTCTGTTATGTTCAATACAATTTACTTATTAAATTGTAAGGTGGAAATAGATCTCTAGTTTTAAAGCATTAATAACGTACACATTTATAATACAAAGTTTTAATCTGTTGAGCCAATCTTAAATGTTTGTGTCATAAATATCAAGGTCAAGAAGAATACCTACATTTCATACTCGGGTAATTCGTGCGACTAGCGGTATGAGACTACACTATAATATATTTATTCATATTCTATCTCGGAATATACAATTGTATCTACCAAACTGTACACTCAGCTACGAGAGTGTACTTTGAAATAAATAGCCGTGCTGTTACAATTTGATAAAGTTTAATGTAGTTCTCCACAGTCACTCTGTTGTGAAATTAATTAATCTGTTTGGGTTTGTGAACAAATTTTACAACAATACAATCGAGTTCTCAACTATTGAATTATTTATTTTCACTACTATGACAATATATTTTTAAATTGTCAACGTTTACATTCCTTGAATTTTATGAATAAATGTTATTAATTGAGCAAATCACATCATAATCAATGAGTAAGGCGTTCAACTCTAGAAAAACCGCTGTCTACGTAATCATGTGTTTATTTATTTGGAGACGAGCGCACGCGCAGGTTTATGTCGTATAAGGCAAAAGCTGTGTATGTGTGAATGTTTGCCGTCGACAATGAGTCACTATGTTGTAATGCTGGAGGACAGTCTATTTCGGCGCGATGAGATTATGATTAATTCACAAGAAACACTCAGAGAATTCGTTAAGTTTGTCGATCAATAGGTGGAAGCTATAAATACACTTGTGTGCACCATTATATTATCAGTCCGTTACGTATTATAACATCACTGAGTTCCTCCTGTTGTCCATTTTCAGTAGTCAAACACAAAGAGTGTAACGAGTTACATATTAAAAACATTTATTTTTTAATATTTTAACTGTACTACTTAATCCCACATATTTCGGTCCCATTCTTGCAAAATATTTTACATGCTTTATCTCTGGAATAAGACCTACAATTTACAGGAACAATATTTGACTGAATTGGTTCATTGCCTATACATATTAGACAAGAATAGAATATTTAATTTTTAGAATTCTTAGAGCCGCGCACTTGCAATAGTTGCATAAACGAAAGTTAACTAGTTGCGGAAAGTAATAACCATAAGATCTCTCGCAACTTTCTGTAAGCGCCACTCTTATTTTTATATTGTGTTCCCAAAGAAGGAACCTAAACCCACCAAACCAACAGGAATATAATTTGAGGTACTGTCTAAAAGTTTCATACGTCGCGTCGGCAGGATGCCCGAGAGGTAGGGTGGGAAGTTGCAGCGAACACTCACCCTGGCGCAGTGCATGTCGCGCTCGGCGGAGGCGGCAGCCAGCTTCTCGGAGGTGTCGTGCAGCGCGGTGCGCACGGCGTGCAGGTCGCGGGCGCGCGCGTCGCGCTCGGCCGCCGCGGCGCGCGCCGCCGCCTCGGCCGCCGCCACCTCGCCGCTCGCCGCCATTCGAGCAGCTCGCTCCTGCTCCAACGAAGCCGCTAAACCCATTGCCTGATGAAACAGTCGAATTCCGCTGTATTACCACGCTTTTATAATATTAAAACTATCTTAAGGCTTCAGTTTTAATGTTGTAACCTTTTCAGTCTCCTGTCGATGTTCCCCTTCAAGTTTCTGAAGGCGCTGTTGCATCTGTCGGTAATCGACACTGAGCATCGACATCTGCCTGTCTTTCTCTTGACACGCAGACTCTGACCGTTGTCGCGCTGTCTTCTCCTCGTTCAGTTTGGATTGCAGAGCTGTTTTATAACATTCCAATTTGTCCATAATTATAAAAGTTACAATTTATTTCCTTTTGTATTTTTTTTTATAACAACAGATTAAAAAATTCAAAATTAATTTAATAAAGTATTTAATTAAAAAACAAATTATAAAAAGATTTGAATTAGAAAAATATAAAAAAATAGTAACAGGTCCCAAGCCAAAATTACTCAAAAGTGATACTACATTGGGCCTATGAAGATCAAATAAGGTAGGTATATTAGCAAACTGAACAATACCTTTAAATATCAATTCCAATGTTCCTGAGGCATGCAAAAAGTGAAGGTATGAAATATATTTTTGGGAGCTTATACAGTTTAGCTCATGTAACCATGAGAGGATTAATAGCGTGGGCTAGATGGCGGGAAGTAGAGATCGTGGAATACTAACACTCACCCTTGACTAGCTCCAAATTGGCTTCTTGTTTAGAGAGCAATTGAGACCGCTGCGTGTCTTGGTGTGCACGTACTTCCTGCTGGTACATGTGCTTCGCTGCACGGAGCTCGTGTGCCAGAGAGGCACATTCCTTCTCCAACGAGGACACTCGCTCTGAAAGCTGCCTATTGTCGGCCATAATTTGATTTAGTCGAGTCGATGCCCGTTCGAGCTCGGCGTGAGCGGCGTTCAATCTGCTCGTGGCTTCTGCGACAGCTGCGTCACAACGTTGTTTAGCTGCCTTTACACCAGCAAGTTCTTCTGAGAGAGTACTTCGTTCTCTTTCTAGGTTATCGCGCTGAGCACGCAAGCTGGCCACAGTGCCGTCGTTCACAGCAGCGGCAGCTGCCTGCGCGGCAGTCAGTTCTGCAGCTTGTTTCCGTGATTTGGCAGCAGCTTCGGACTCTTGTTTTAATTTCTCGCGCAACTCTGTCAATTGCATTTCTAAAGCGTTAATTTTATCATTGTATGTCTGTAAATTGTTTATTTCCTTCGCTCGTTTACTTTGCTCTTCGTCGAGCCGTCGTTTAGCTTCGTTATAATTAAATTCAGCTTTTCTTCTGGACTCTGCTTCTATGTCAGCCTTTCTTTGTAACTCTTTCAGATCGTGACGTAATAGTGCTAATTCTTTGTCTGTGTCAGCTAATATTTTCTTATTTCTAGTATCTCTCTGAGAAAACTCTTCAAGTTGAGCACATAACGTGACTTGAGTGTCTTCCAACTTTCTTCGACAGTCCCTTTCTCTTTCGAGAAGTTTTTCCAGTTGCAATATGGCTTCAGATCCAACATTATTAATATGATTATTAGAGATAGTATCTACCACATCGGCTGCCTTCAATCCTCTCGCGCATAACTGATAATCACCATTATAAGTAAAACCTACAAAAGGCAAATGGTTACCAACAAATGCTTTGGGCACAGGAAAAGATTCATCCAAAGCATCAGACTTTTCCATGTCATCAAAATTCCTTGTATCATCATCACTAGATAATTCAGGCACAACTGGTGGTACAGAGTCTCTCAAGTTTTCAAAACTCCACTGGTCATTGATGAAAAATGGATGCTGCTTAATTTCATTAACACTATTTTTGCCCAATCGTTTGATTCTGTCTGTTAGAAGACCTCTGATTAGAGATTTGGCATCCTTTGAAATTTCTACATCATCTGGAAACTGAAGTGAGTTTCTGTGATCCATAATTTTGCCATATGTACCAACTAAACTGTCTGCATAAAAAGGAGGATCTCCAATGAGCATTTCATATAAAAATATTCCCACAGCCCACCAGTCACATTCACGACCATAAACTCCTTCACCATTCTGTGATTGCAACACTTCAGGTGATATGTAATCAGGAGTACCCACAGCATTACTTGCCCGCACAAGACCATCGGGTCCCATTCGCATGCATGTACCAAAATCAGCTAGTTTTAGATGTCCATATTTATCAATTAACATATTATCTGGTTTAACATCACGGTGTACAAAGCCCATACCATGAATTACGTCTAGTGCAAGGACAATTTCCATAGTATAAAATTTAGCCCATTTTTCAGGTATATCATAGTTGGACATAAGGCTAACAAGATCACCACCGGGCATGTAATCCATCACCATGTAAAGGTACTTGTGGTCTTGAAAAGCAAAATGAAGTTTTAATATCCACTCGGAGTTAGCATGTGCCATAATGTGTCGTTCCTCCCAAAAAAATGTAGAATCAGATCTCTTGATCATTTCAACTTTACTGAGTAATTTCATGGCATACACTTGACGTGTAGACTTGTGTCTGACTAGTTGCACTTCACCAAATGCCCCACGGCCAATCACTTTTATTAAATCAAAATCTGCTGCTTTCATGCGCAGATCTACAATGTCTGAAGCAAAAGCCTCATCTATAACAATAAGAAACATTTCATTAATACCAGTACTAAAGTTATTTTGTGGAAGGCAAACGTTCTATTCCTACATTATTGATTATGTTACTATTCATAATAATATTTGGAATGTTAACAACATTTCTCCTACTACTATATGAACACAAAGGAAAGTTTATATTGCAACCTTGTAATTTGATATGTGGATAGCACATTTTTTTGGATTATAAATAATGTGTGCACAACTTTAATTTTAACTTATTTTTTTTGTAATTAGTTTTACTAGTCAGTGAAAATAATTAAAACAAATTAGGTTAAGCCCTGAGAAGTACTGTTAGCAAATAATAATAATATTTAGTTATATTTGATGAAATCAATCTCTGTTTTATGATTATAAACTGATATCTAGCAATCAGTTGAATAATGACATGATACACCTAATTCATGTAATATAAAATTGTACTAGTGTTATAACACTGTGATGTACTTTTCCATCCAATTGTGACACTGTGATATGTCACGTTTCCAGGTGTAACAAAGATCGAATGAAGTAAAATATTGTTATTTTGTTACAATAAAACATAATCTATCAACAAACAATGATGATTGGGCACTAGCTTGATACCATTGAAAATATCAAATACAAATTTTACAACAAAAACAAACTAACTTTCAAAACTATGTTAAGAATGAAAATATGTGAAAGATGTAATATACTCATCACAAATCTCACACCATGTTTACAATTACTAATAATCTCCAACTATCATACATGAGTACTAAGTGTTATCATTCCTTAATTGATTACAACATGTAAACTAATCAAAACAAATCCATAACATCCATTTGCACATTAAATATTAATTAATATCATCTTTTTGCACACATTAACCATTACATTTTTACCAGAACTACACAAATTATTTTGATTAAATTAAATTAATACAATTTTCAAATATTTTCTTGAAAATATATTTGACTAACACTATGTAGGGGATTTTAAAAACGATGACTACCACAATTTCAGATTATAGTAAGGAAAAATATATGAGTGTACTGGGTCATGTACTTATACCACAAATTCAACAAAATGTCTCATCACATTAGGTTAAACCTGCTTACATTTTGATGATTCTTTTACAAAGTTTTGTATTTTTATGTGGAACTTGATGTTGTTAATGGAATTTTAAAATAGTTAATGCAGCAATCCAAATAAATGCAAACTTTGGCACTTAAATCACCAAGAACTTGTATATCAACAATATGTTCTACTTATTTGGTCAAAACTTTGTCAATGTTGTTTCTTTTGTATGTCTGTCATCAATTATGTATATAACAACAACTACTCAAATCTTATTAGAAAACAACAGTTATAATGAGAATAGTAAAATTTAATGAGATCCTTCTCAATTCCTGAGTTTCAATATTGGTCTTTAGTACTTACATCTGCTGGTGTATGCCTCGACATTCTTCATGCGACGGATAGCCGGGTGGTCACAGTCGGAAACGAGAGCAGTCACGGTGTCTAGCAAGCAGTCCACGTTGCCTGGGGAACGAGGGTCACAAAGCCGCTCCTCCAGGGCACGCAGCCGCCGCAGACGTTCTTCGTCCTTCACCGATTCCATGCTGGATCCTATTTCTGACGTCCTCTGCCACTAAGGCTAAACGCCACCGCACATTCTCCCGATGACTACTCCGAGTAAGAACACCACTCTCATCACGACACATCAACAACTGTATACTGATTTGTTATTCTTGCACTCTACTTCTGTCGATAACCTACCATTTAAAGGATAACTTATGTTTCATTATCGAAAAATTCAGTTGCTACAGCTCAGAATGACAGCAGATAAAGGTGGTGGTTTCTCACAACAAAGCATATGCACGTTTGCAAACACAACAGGATGATTATTTACATTTATAAATATCCACAAACTTTTAACGGATTAAGATCACTAAATTGATATGAAGATTGGCACAAATATTGAAAAATTAAGAAAAATTACGAATTATTCGACCGCTTGATTGATGAACGATGGATGATCGAACAATAAAGTGAAGTTAGATACATATTTTTAGGAGTAGTTCACAATAACGTTTCGTTTTTGTACAAAACATAAGCTAGGAATACATTCGTCATTAAACCGAAAGAAACCTCTATTTTAGTTGTAAATACTTTGGTACTAATTATATAAATAACTATTAACAAAAATCACCACATAGTAATTAATTTAAAAAAGTTGTTGATTGTATAAGTTTCAATGTCCTGAAACTGGTTGATAGATAAAAAAATCTTTATTTTTGACGAGGAAAGTATGCAGTTCTTGGTTCTCGTTTTGTATAAATAATTTCATTCATGATTATATTGCCTGACTAGCATTCAGCTAATCACCACTATTGTACTTAGCACCAGCTAAGCGTATAACTTATAGTAAGCTCTAAAGCTTAGTTTAGTAGTAAGCTTACGCAAAATGACTTACCATACAATCTTGACATAAAATAAATTACAAGCTTTTTTATTAATATGTTGTTACTGTGTTAGTATTGTATACATCCTTCCTGGATGCTCCTGTGTGTAGGAACAGCAATAAATAAGTCTCCGTTTTGCTAAGAAAGTAAGAGCTTTAGTAACTATTTTTCAAAAAGTAGACAACTGTACGAAAACGTAATAGATTCATAGACAAAAGTAGACGATGATTTTGCAAAGGATAATCAGTCATTCGTGTTCTAATTCATTCATTCAACATTTTGTTCATCGAATCGAATGGAACATGGCGGTGCTAGGCAGGATGTGCATAAGTTTTTGATTTTTGCATTTTTAACGAGTTGCTTATATCAGTTAACTTTCTAAATAATTTCTGACTTATTTCGTGTGTTATAATATTTGTTATAGTGTAAAAGCTTATTCACCCCAGGAATTTCCTGTCTGGACTTACTTAGTTCTGCAATGAAAATTATTATTCGTTGGTAGTGTAAAAATAATTGTGACAAATATATCACTTTGCTTCAGGTAAACTGTTGTTTTATGTATATTTATTATTTTGTATTAACCATAGTTTATACTAAGTTCTCGTAATCCGAAGTTTCATCCCATAATTAGTCAATAAAAAGTTACGAGCCTGCCCCATTTTGGTTCAAGTTCATTCTCGTGTTATTTTGTTCTATAATAATTTTATATTTAGGTATGTGATCGAATCGTCATTGATATCCATGGAGTTGTGAAAGACAATCACATGCATTAAGTAATATTTGCGATAAATTTTCATGATCACTGCTTTTCTTTGTGGTCCTTAATCACGTGTGGATCAGGTCGTTATGGGGTCAATAACTGCTGACTACGGATTATTTTATTAGCTTTATTCGCTTAACGGAGATTGTAAATTATTAGTAATTCTGTAATTTTTTGGAGGCGATATTTGTAATATAGATAATAAGATGACAAGTAGATGGTTAAGCTCTGAGTTTTAATCTGATACAAATCCTTTTTGTACGCAATTTTATTGTTTATTGGATGACCAGTATGTATTTATCAAAATATTATATATGCATAGGTATAAAAGTGCAAGCTAGGTGCAGGGCGCAGGATGTAGACAGGGGCGGTGGTAGTGCGGGGCGGGGGCCGGGGGCCCGTCCGCCAGTCAGCTGTGCAAAGTGTCATGTTGTCGCGTCGCACCGTACCGACCCGTGGGAAGTGGCCTAAATTGTGCCCCTCCATTGAATCTTGAAATTTGATTCTGTTATTGTTACAAGCTCTCTTTATAAAAGATATATGGCAATTTGCTTTAATTAATAGATTGTTATTTAACATGTAAAAAATACTTGAGTATTTAAGTTAAGTAGATGCAGATAAAAATTTTCCTTTGTGGTAAACAAGTTTTGGTGAGTCTGTCTAAACTTCAACCCTAAAAGTCATATGTGGTGATGACATCTAGCAAAATATTGTCGTAGAAATTATGGCTAAACATACTTTCTCTAGTAATTCTAGCAAATGAATTTAATGAACTGTTTAAATTACTGTATAATTCTTGTTTAAATGATTAATGAAGTTACCAAGTATGAATTTGAAATAACTATGCATCTAATATAAAATTGCATAATTTTGGCTAAAAGTGTGCCTTATGTAAATGTTTTCATTGTTTCGTGTATGTTTGCCATTTGCCATTGTTGTGCAATCAACAATTTTCAATAAAGTCCTCTTTATGGTTTACCGCTGAATGCTGACGATAACAGCTATAATCACACTTTTCTTGCTCTCAATGTACAAACTTAATCAGTATTTCATTATAATTGTTGATTCATATCCTGTAATAAAAAATATTATTTTATGAATGAATACAATTCCATTTTACATACTTGAATAGTTTGAAAAAGATGTTTTTTTTTTCTATGGCTATTGGTTAAAAGAAAATAATTTCATACATTTTCTTGAAATTAGTACAAGAGCAATCGAAGCAAATAATATAACACTGGTGTGCTTTGTTTGAGGGTTAAATATCTTATTTCATATTTCTACTCAGACTATTTATAGCAATGTACTTGATGTACATCCACATTGTATAGTTACATATAACTAAGTTTACATGTTTATTAGGATTCAGATTTCATTGAGGTTCTGTTCTAATGATTACTTTACTACAATAGTGGATATGCCTATAGGACTAGAATGAGCCATATTTAGGAAATCAATGAATCTTATAAGCTCATTCCTAATTACTGTATGATGTAATTGGACATTGACTTTCATACATTAATAATTTATTTCAGTGTGCCGTGTTGGTCATGGCTACGCTCATCCAAGAGAATGGTATAAAGGAGCTAAGTAAAGGCACACACGGAGTTGTGCCTAACCGTGGTATATCTTCACATAGTGTAACAAATCATATGGTGCCTGATCATGAATATTGCGAAGCTGGCTCGACTAGCACGTCACAGATGCAGTGTACCGATACAAATGAGGCGATGGCGCCACCCACCGCCATTGAAGAAGAGGAAGATACCCCAGAAATAGATATAATGATAAACAATGTTGTGTGCAGTTTTAGTGTTAAGTGCCACCTGAACCTTAGACAGATAGCATTAAACGGTGTTAACGTTGAATTTCGCCGCGAGAACGGCATGGTAACTATGAAGTTACGGCGTCCATACACTACTGCGTCTATCTGGTCGTCTGGCCGCGTGACGTGCACTGGTGCAACCAGCGAGGACCAAGCGAAGGTTGCCGCACGACGGTATGCGCGTGCACTTCAGAAGCTTGGCTTCCAAGTGCGTTTCCGCAATTTCCGTGTAGTCAATGTATTAGGCACCTGTCGGATGCCCTTTGGTATAAGGATCATATCTTTTTCGAAAAAATACAAGGAAGCAGAGTAAGTATATTTTAGCTATAATACTTTTGCAATAACTTACATTTTAATTCAATATTTATTTTTGCATCCAGCTTCAAATGTTTTGTTTACACTTTTAAAGCATTCATCAAATGTGTTTGCCTAAGACTTTCATAAGCATTAGACAATGGCATTTTTCTGTAGTTTTTCAACAAACATCGCATAGATACACATAGGCATAATAATATTAGGTATAAATGTATTCAGCAGTGACTCATTAATTACTTATAGAATGATTAATTTTATGAAATAATTGTTATTAAATACCTAAATCTGTGATATTCTACATCCAGTGTTGAGTCCAAAAATACTTATCAAACAATGCAAACTATGTAGAGTCAGGGTTCATATGAAATTGTTTATTTTTTGTGATAAATAAAAATGTCCCAACTTCGAATATTAAAATATTTGAGGTGAACAACTCTTAAGAAAAGTAAGCAAACCACTTGTTTGAATTTAATTGACTTCAATTTCATGATCAAATTCAGGAACTAGTAATTGCATCTATAATTAAATTAACTATTTAGAGACTATACTGATTCCTAAAGAAAATTATTTATTAAATTATTGTATTTCTATAAAAATAAATTACTTGAAATGTGTGTTCTCATTGTTTTCAGCTATGAGCCGGAGCTCCATCCTGGAGTCACATACAAGTTATACAATCCTAAAGCTACGCTCAAGATATTCTCTACCGGTGGTGTGACTATCACAGGTATATATATGTTTTATGTTCACTAATAAATTTAAACATACATTTCTGTAAAGAGGAAATAACAAAAATATTAATTTGATAAGTAGCCTCATAAAGTCAACATATTAGGTCATTCATTTTAAATGTGTAATAAAGTGAAAACAAAAAGATATTCGTATTGCAAACTGAAACTATAGTATAGTACATACTATATACTATATTTAATTAGTCATTTGTTACCAACTGCCTCATTTATTGAGTGATCACAGGCAAGCGTGTTTGTCAAGCAAAGGATCTTTGGTACTAAATTTAAAAATAAATAGTTAAAGCACAGATTGAGAGTTGTGATCAGTGAATGGCAAATGGCTTATCCCTATTACATGGAAACTGGTTATAAGGGTGTTTCATTTAAAATGAATACAAATGTACACAACGTTGTTTGTCTATCTAATTAATGATTAACCTCTTCACTGCTGGTATATAAGTATATAAGACACAATAGCAAATACATCGTGTCTCGTGTGGATCTGCGTTCCGGCACCCGACGAATTAGAAGACACTAGTTTTTGTGTGTCATCCAAAATATTCGATTTTAATAATTACTCTCAGAATGTATTATATTGTTACTGAAATAATAATCGTGTTAGCAACTAACCAATCCTGTATGTCACTGCGTGATTGAGATAAAACGTCGTTATTATAGTGTGTACTTATTAATGCAGCCTACGCAAATTTTAATTTTTAAAAACAATAAAGTCTAACACATTCCTTTGTTAGACTTACGTCGTGTCGTTACTACAACGTTCGACTATTGGAATGACAATAAACACCTCATACCGTATACTTCGTGTGCGAATGTACTAACTTTGACGCAAGTTATATTTCTTGTTCCGAAGTTTTCCTATAGCTCAATATTGATAAAATTTAATAGGATAAGAGCCACGTGGAACTACTATTGTTATAAACTTTAACGATAACAAATCATAACAAGAGTTACAATTATAAACCGACAGGAATTGATTCCGCAACACGTGTAGGGCCATTTTAAACTGTCAAGCACCAAGCGGTCACCGGTGACCGCGACCTATTGTTCTTTAATTGTGTCTATAAAACCGGTACTCGACGAGTTAAACTTTGCAACGGGGTTTATTACGTTAATTCAGATCAAGATCTAATAACTAGAAACTGAAGATAGATGTTAATAACAAAATTATCATTTATAATTTTAATAACAAAACTATTATCTGCAGCTCGGAGCGTGAGTGACGTTCAGTCGGCCGTGGAACGCATCTTTCCGTTGGTGTACGAGTTCCGCAAGCCTCTAACTCCGGCGGATGAGGAGTTGCTGCGACAAAAGCGTGCAGCCCGCGCCGGCGTGCCAGCTCCTGCGCCCCCGCCCGATGATGACCCCATGCACTTGGTGACGCTGTCGGACGACGACAACGACGCCTGGGAATGACGCGCAGGGGCCGCGCGCGCCTCCGCCGCTCACTGAAGCTCCCGACGCGAAGCCCCGTGCGGGAACAAAACGAACTTTTATATTGGCATCGAAGCAATAACTGTCGGTTGTTAGTGCGATCGCGTGTGACTCGTCGGCGAGCTGTTCGGTTCATGCCAAAGATATTTATTAGGGAAGGTGCTTCGCGCCTGGTCCGGTCTGCGCGCGACCACGACCTCTCGGCTGAACGTTCTGCGAAGCACCCATGCTTCTTTACCCTTCGTATGTACGATTGTATCGTTTTTGTGATGACCTGTGACCTCTTTAGTATGCGTAGATGAAGTCGACTCGTTTACGTTGAAACCAAAATTGTCATAAAATTACAAAAAAATGTTCAAAATAAATCTCGATAACGATACTCAGTCTCGTTTTTTCATTTGCCGTTATGATTGTAGAATTTGTAGTGATAATAGTGTTCAATAAGATTTGTTCTAAGAAAGAGATGACTGAACGATAGATGTTAGTGATTGTAAATATGGAAGCTTCGACATTATACGTTTCAATAAAAACATTTTGTGTTTTATTTACATAAGACAATTTATTATAAAAAAACAAAATATACATAAATAGGTAGGTAGATGAATGTTGTTTAAGAATCCGACTCGTGGGTGTCGTACTCGTCACTCGTGAACCTGGTCTGTGATGGACGTGGTGGCCTGCTGAGCCTCAGTTGTGTGCTCTCTGTTCTATGATTTCCAAATACTTTCGGTGTCTGGATGTACGCACTCATGTCGACTACAGCAAGACGTGGCGTTTTTACGGCAGTTCCTGCAAAATAAGATCTAAGTCCTGCACCAGTGTGTCCAGATATTCTATGTAGGAGATACGTTATCGATACAACGATTTTATTATACAAAAGAACACTCGTTTAGTTAGGTACCTACCTAATTTTAAACAAATTTAGGACAATTGGGGCAAAGTTGCACAAAATGGAAATAAAAATGCGCTTCGACAAGGGCTCAATCAAAACGTGTCTATTTACGAGTAAAATAATATCCAGACTAAGTACCTACTTTTGGGTAGGTACCTAAGTAACGGTAGGTATGTACATAAATACCTACCTACATTTATTTCAGTGCTAGAGAAAAGCAGTGGCAGGAATAGAAAGAAAAGGTCACAAATCGAAATATACCACAGGCACATTAAACTTTCATATCACATGTCTTGGTTTGGTAGACAGAACTTTTAACGAAAAGGGCAAATCAATAAGTATCTACGTCTTTGCTATGATTAGATCAGACATCGAACATCTATTCACTGTTTAGTCTGTATCTGTACCCTCCCTGTCCTTAATATAGTGTCACATTAGTTCGTTGTTTCATTGTTAAACCTACTATTAATAAAATTGGGTAGCTAGTAGGTACCTACATACCTATTTATATCTTTTACCCAAACCAAGTGAATTACATAAGTACCTATTTATGTAAAAAGTAGAATTATAAAGGTACCTTTACCCATTATTCGTGGTTATACACTGTACCAATCAAAAATATTTATGTATGTAGTATGATGACGACAACCTACCTGTAATTACAGGCAGTATGTGATCAATGTCTAGTACAGTTCTTGGTCGAGACTTCAGTATGGGACGACGTGAAAGCCTGGCTGGTAGAGCTTTCAGGGCAGGCGGGGATACTTTAGGCAGGGACGGTGACAACACTCGCCCAGCTAAAACACGTCGTTCAGGTGAAGAACTGGGTGACCTATGATAATTACAATGACCAAAATAATTAGAGGTAAAATATTTGGCCGGTAAATACCTACATCGGTATGTAACTTCAAGACGTAGTATCATCAGACACTTGTGCCCAAAAGTATTTCTATAAAAAGTAAACCTCCAAGTTCACAAAAGGTAACTTTACTTTTCTGGCTTCTATCATGAAGAACTTTTTGTATGTTTTCTCAACACAAAGTTTTGCTCTGTTAGGTAAATTATGGAAAATTCCACCTTAGTAATGTCCTTGAACTAAAGTTACTTATAATTCAGGGGTTGAAATTGAAAGAAGAAACGCGTGTAAATCGGCAGAACCGCACTAACTCAGCTTTCAGTATAAAAATTTATACCAAAAATGTGTAGATATTCCTGGCTTTATGATGTTATCTAGGCTCTAGTTTACTTAATTACCTAGGTACTAGGTACCTACAAATTATATTTTAGCACCCTGTCTTCATTGAGCCTACCTAATAATTAAATACTAAATCCTATAACTGTGTTGTTAAATTTTAACATGCGTCTATGTATGACACAATTGTAGGTACCTAAACTTATCTAGGTGTAGGTATACTTTTGTGTGATTTATGTTTGCTGACTTTACATAACACTGTCAATTATATTGATTCGTAGAAAGTAACAATATTTGGGTAGGTAGGTATTTCTCTGACCTGTCGCGTTCAATAACAGGTCGTCTCCGCCGCCGTCTGCCCCTTTGATCTTTCTTCTTACTCCGACCTACTCGCGGGGGAATGACCCCTATATGTCGATAGTAGTCACAAAGGGATTTTGCTAGAGATTTGCCTATTTTAGTATCTGATTCTCATGTTAAGAAATTAACTTAATTAAGGATGGAGTTGAGTAAGAATTATCAAATTAACATACCTACCTACATATTAGGTAGGTATGTTAATTTTTACTTAAATTTTTTCTTTAAAACTAGGTACTTGACGTACTAAGTTATCTGAGTAGTAGATATAAAAAAACTTTTAATTACCTATGTTATATGCTTGCATTCAGTACCTAAGTACAGTTTGTAACGCAAGTTAGGTAACCTAACAATAATATTGGTACTGAGTATTAATTAACTTATTAAGACAAGGATACATGCGTCTTCAGTATAATGTATGTAAGGTCCCCTAGGAGACAATCTTCTTCCGCCTAAAGATACCAAAAGTGTGTAAGCGTCGATGGATCCCGAGGGCAGGGCTCGCCGAGCAGTGCCAGCCAGTAGAGAGTCGGAATTGTAGAAGCACGCCTCAGGACGCCACGCTTCTATACGAGCGCCTAAAAACTTAGGAAGGACTGCCTGTCGTTCAAACCTAGGTAACGAACCAAACGATTAATAAAGATGAAACAGAAAATATTATGTCAATTATGTTTATTGTATGGCATAAAGTAGCTAGAGCACCTAAATCACATTTTCAAATTAGATAAACTTGTAAGTTACGGTACCGCAGTTACAAGACGTAGGTTGAATAAAGTACGTATGACATAGGAAAGCCAAGAACAAGCAAATATACGTGTTTAAATTAGGACATGACTAGTAATATCCGTTACTCTTCTAATAGAATAGACACGAAGTTACATAGCTTCATGGTTACATTGCACTTAGCCATTGCCAAGGATGTACTCACCTATATACGTCATCATAAGAGTTACCTCGTACAAACACTCCCTCGTGACTAATGTCTGCGTGAATGTCAATTATAAAATCCAACTGCACGTTCTGAAAGGCACAAAAACTGTTCAAAGTTATAATTATACTGGTGCACAAATTGGTTGGTTATTTCTGTAGGTACTTGTAATAGCAACGGCTTAGTTATGTGAACTAAGTTTTTTATGGGATAGTCCGGTAAAGTAGCGATGGATCACCTGATGATAAGCAATTGGCGTCGCCCATGGCCACCTGGGACATCATAGGCGTTACAAGTGCGTTACCGGCTTTACACAACGCAAGCGTTGTTTCACGTCGATTTTCTATGAGGCCGTGATCACTCCGATCGAGTCGGCCCATTCATGCCGAAGCATGGCTCTTCCACACTCAAGTATTTGAGAATAGCTCTACAGTAAGATACTATAGCAGGTAAGATAGTTATTACACAAATAATTTCTCCTAGCCGTACCTAATATTACGCCTACACTACAGTCATTTTTAGCAGATAAGAGTAGTCATACATTTCGGTCATTATTTAGTTAATTAAGAACGAATGCGATGCGTCTCTATTATCAAACATTAAAGGAGTTGGAAGTACCTATCGTGTATTTGCAGGATTATAGGGAATTTCTATTTAGGTACTCCATGCAGAATTGGAACCAGGGTTTAAACTTAACGGCGCGCAGCACATTTAACCTTTTGAATTATTTCACTTACCTTTTCTGAGGCGAGTTTCTTAAGAAGATCGTTGACTGCAACTAGAGCAGGGTGCGCGAAACTGGTGGCTCGGTTCCAGCACCGGTTGAGGTCACCGCCCAGCAGATCTGACCTCTGGTTGCCAAGGAACACTCCGTCTGGATTCAACATTGGTATTACCTAGTAATGACAACATCATTTTTAAATAGGTGTATTGGTGCTGAAATAGGTAAATTGTCTCTGTTCTATAATAATTAATACTACACTACAGGTGTGATCATATTCCACGAAAACGGTTAACTATATAATGCTCATTGTAGTTCTGTAAATGTTACGGATCTAGTCGCCCATAAGGAATACCTAAGCATAGTATAAAGAACACAGTAGGTTATCTAAGGCCGCCCGCCGAGTTATTAGCCTACTCTTGCGTTGATCCCCAGGGTTGTCACTTTTACTTTTAGTTAATATTTTCGAACAAGCAGCAGTTGATCTAAATTTATGAAATGAAAAGCATATTATGATTGAATATTTTATCAATTTATAAATTTAGTAAAAATTAAAAGCTTATAAAAAGATTATTAACTTCTTAAACAAACTTTAGCTCTATACATAGTATTCAGAAAGTAAATTTGGGAATACATTTATATAAAAATGCGACTCGGCTACGCTCTTAACAAATCAGATAAACTGTGAAATAAACAATACAATACCACATTTTCTTATAATATTTAAGTATAGTAGGTAATTACATTTCTGGTTGAGTAGGAACTATGAAGAATGATAAGAGTAAGAATAAGTAAGTAGGTATCTCATCATCAAGTACCTACAAATTATATTATGCTAGAAAAAGTGACTAGCTTACCTTTCCTGTTCAATAGGTACCTAATCTGAACAGAGACAGTTCTGGAATCGATTAATTATTAAGACCCCACACAGCAATACGTTCTTCTACGATTATCAGACATTTTTTATTTCATTGAACAGTGCCGAAAAGCCGTGAAGCGCGCGCGCACCTCGTACAGTGTCAGCCCTGCCTGGCGCACTGAGAAACGGGTCGAGATTTTGTTAAAGTGTGCGTGCGTCGACGCATAGATACTATGGCGCACACATATAAGCCGCGCGCGGAGCATTTGTATGAAGATAACCTACTTTGTTCTTTATACTATGACCTAAGTGCCCCTAGTATCGCATATAGTTAAATACTTCCGAATTGTTTTCAGGTGACTAAGGGTTGTCATCAAAGGTAAAAAATAATGAATGGTAAGGGTGGGTGACGACATTAAAGTCTTACGTCGATAATATAACGTCACGCCTTTTATCCCTGAAGGGGTTGGCAGAGGTGTACACAGAAGTAACACCCACTTTTCACTATTTATGTTATGAGTCCCATGTAATAGGGGGTGAGCCTATTGACTCCATGCTACTACAGAGATTTTTTAAAAAGTCAGTATTGCTTTGCCCGACTCGGGAATCGAACTCAAAACCCCTGCCCGTCAGTCACACTTGCGACCACTCGGCCAACGAGGCAGGATCTTACGTCGATGGATAACGATATTGCTTACCTCCAAAATAATGTTGTTTCTTAGAGCAACCGCCTTCTCCGACGATCCCAACAGGTAGTCCAAGAAACCTTCGTAACATAATGGTTCTCATAAGTTATGTTCATAATACCTTATGTTCCTTAGAGGTTTGATATCTTAATCGTAAAGGTGTTGAGTAAACATTTATGAAACATATTTTTCTTTTGAAAGGACATAAAATTGTTAGCTTAGTATGAGTTTCCAAGCGAGCCATATAAAATTGGTTAGTTTATGGCAACATATGGGTGAGGTCTGAAATTATCGTTTTCTTAGTTTACCTTGACAAACAAATGAGGAGGGCGGTTCCCCTCCATGTGTCCTCGCTATAATGAGTACGACTCGCTTCTTCGTCACTGCTGGTTTCACTTTAGTTAACGTTGGATCTTCTTTAACCTCCTCTTTTTCTTTGACGTTATAATCTCCAATAGTTACAAGGTCAATGCGTCGTTTTTGCTGTAAAAATAATTCTTATAAGAGTGTACGTAAGGCTTACCTATATATATATGGAAAATCATGAACTATATATGATTAACTTACAGTCGTCTGAGCAATGGATTGTCTGGTGGCAAAAGCCTGTGCCCTCTTCTCCCATGTAGCGAGGTGCTTCTGAAGTCGCGAGTAAGAATAAGAAGCTGCAGCCGAAAACTGATACACATCTTCTTCTCGATCGAAAGCAAACGCAATACTTAATATCTTCCGCCCTCGATGCACCAGCGAACGATGGTAGAATATTAGACGCCTGGGAATCCGTTGCCTAAAAGATTAAAATTATTATATTGAAGTAAATAAAATTGCGTAGGCATGTGCTTTAAATGCTACGTGCACGTTGTAACTGCAACTACGCGGATCCACGGCCTCAGCTGGAAGTTTGGAATAATTTATCTTCAAATCTGGTTTGTAACTCCAACACCTGCGTTCGTGAGCAAAGTTAAGCACATTAATTGTGCGCGAAGTTCACAACTGGAATGTCATGATAAACACAAATTTAGTGTAATATTTTCTCCCTAACACGTACATTATGTACTTACTTATAGTTCAACGCACTTACCATTTCGGTCGTGACGTAGAGCGGACTAGAGGGGTCATATCACTGTCGAACAAGGTCGTCTCTTTGGCCAAATTAACAATATTTAGTATCACTCTCTGTAATAATTAAACCGCGATGAAATTAAGACTACATTTAGCCGATTTATTATCGACTAAACTAAACTAAAATAGTCTTAATTAAACTGTAGAAATTATAGGAACTATTAAGAAAAAAGCTTAACGTTTACCTGATCTTGTTTAACATTTTCAATTGTGAAATTGAACCAAAACCGAGCTCTGGGTCTGCAGGTGTCTGGTCTAACGTACAGATCATATTCCAAGTCTGTGATATGGTCCGCTCGTCCCAAGTTCCCGCACTCAAACGCCGCGTCAAAACACAACTGCCCACGTTTGGCTTTCCCACTCTGCCCCGGAGGGCGAACGATCAGCCGACTCAAATTGCCCAAACCTCCTTCTCCGTCGCTTTCTTCACTATCTGTAAATACCAAACTATTTCGTTTGCATTGCATGCAGGTAATGTATGTAATTGCCTTCAACACCGCGTGCTATGCACTGAGTCTCACAAAGTTAAATATCATGTACCTACACCTACATGCTTTAGACACTCCTAAAAGCATGACTATTAGCTAAATATAGCCCTTGATAGTTTTAGAACTCCATTTACGGAGCTTTCCTAACGCCTGCTATCTAAAAGCAACGACGTCTAAATGCCAGTTGCATAGTATGAAATTCAGAAGATTTACATACGCTAATAGAATTGGGCTAAACCTACTTGTACTAGCGATGTTCAATCAGTAACAACATTACTGACTGATGGGATTTGTACACGAACACTATCAAATATTGCACATAGTATTTATATCAAAAACAATATAATCTGTAAAATAAAAAACAGCGATAAAATGTTCCTTAAAAATTGTGGTTTTCGTGTATTATTTAATACCGTAGGCGGAGCGGCGATATATGGAGGTGTGATCCAGACAATCCAGAGGGTCGGTGTACGCAGCCATTGCTACACAGGTAAGGTTCTCGACTAAACCGCCTTAACCAACTAACTTTAACAATGTAGGTGAACAGATTGACTACAAGATTGACGGCAATGCCTAGGCGATAAGTGCACGAATATGTAAGGAAAACAGTTTAGCGAGACACGCCAACCGTATATTGAAAGTTTTTTCTTCAGTCGATTGAAATTTAAACGAAACCGAATTCTTTCTTTAGGACCTCGCGAGTGTTTTATGTTCAAACTTTAATTTAAAGGTTTTACTGCGGTTTTAAGACTCCAACTTTGGTGTTTGAGGAAATTTTTCACTATAGTTTGTTTCGAACTTTAGTAAAATATAATAAAGTTTTGTGTCACCATCCATAATGCATAGTTTTAAAGTAAACGTATGAAATATAATGTAACTAAGTTCCTTATAATGTAACGCTCGAAAGGAAGAATAAGTACCGGCAATTACTTATTTACTTAGTAGTCAATCAAATTATTGAGTTGTCGCTTTTAAGGCAGGATCATCAAACGTCATTTGAAGTTGGACTTACAGACACATATTATATTTACCTTAGATAAATATAATCGTCAATGGCATGATAATCACTAGGTAGGTACATATAATATCTCGTCTGGTGATACAATGGACAGATAAGTACCACTTAACGAGACTCATCGTCTGCAATGTTGGCACTGATACTCAGTCGAGTTCATTTTATCGAGTAATATTGGCACTGGAACCGTCCACTCATGCTCATCGATCGACATTACGAGAAGACATGAACTTTATTTTTAACTACTTACATAACATAAAAGCACCGTTCAAATTTGTGTGATCGTAGAAGTATACTAACTCTTCGGTACGTTTTAAATGATATATGAGGGACGGAACTAGCGGATAATTTCACATATACTACCTACAAACTGTCTCGAATACTTTGAGACATTTTTGTGTTAATTAAGGTAAAAAAAACTTAATCACCTGACTGCCTCGTTGGCCGAATGGTCTGAGTAAGTGCGACTGCCGGGCAAGGAGTCTCGGGTTCGATTCCCGGGTGGGGCAAAGTATTACTGGGTTTTTAAATATTCTCAGTAGTAGCACGGAGTCGGGAATTGTGCCCGGTATATGGCAATAGGTTCACCCCCTATTACATGGGACTCATAACATAAATAGTGAAAAGTGGATGTTACATTGTAATTGTACAGTGGTATAATGTGCACCTCTGCCTAACCCTTCGGGGATAAAAGGCGTGATGTTATGTAAAAACTTAACACGTTAAACGCCATGGGGGTCACCGGTGACCGGCGTTAGCGGAAGATTAACCTTCAACAGTTTTTATTGGCAGTCAAAGTCTTAATCAGACTTTGTGAGACAAGCCCGAAGTCCTTTAAAACTCCTATCTATTTGTATGTCCCGTAGTTGTAGCAAATTTGCTCGTAGCATGAGCGTAGCAGACCTACTACGGCGTAGCAAAGCTAGCTTTCTTTGTTAAGCGCCTCTTTAAGATTTAAAGCTAATCTTAAAATTGAGGCACATTACATTATGCCTTTATGAACTCTGCTATTATGGTATTGAAGTATGGTTGGACGCTGAGATACCTATAACCTACGTAAACTGTTGTTAAAAAATATTAACAAAATGGTAAAGTCGGTTAAAATGTCCTACTTTATTAACCTGCAATTTTATTTCTCTTTTAGTTAGGTTTATTCTTTTTCTCTTTTATTTTTTTTGGTATATTGATCTTCGTGTAACTAGTAGTACATATATATGTTAAGTCGTCGATTATAAACTCACGTGCATATAATAGAGATAGTTAGAAGAACGATGAAAGATCCTTAAGCAGACTGCTTGCGCTTGATACAATCAAATGAGCGCGTATTACATTTGTTGTTGTACGAATGCACTTGTTTGTAAAAACTAGTGTTTACATGTATACAAGTTAATATATGGGTAACGTCAGTTATTCGTGCATGAAATCACGTGTATTTGCTATGACAACAGACTCGCCAGACGCTACATAGTTTATACTGCATTTTGTGCAGTTTGCCCAATTAAATAACAGAATGCACATATTAACAATCGACATACCTTAAACACCAATGAAAGTTAATATTCAGAAACTAATGACAAAATGTGTTAACGTAACTTTCTTTTACAATAACTACATTTATTTATCTAGGCAAGCTTTGTTGTGCTATATGAATGATATGTACATGTATCTTACCTGACATCTTGACCTAAACTTCCATCACAATTTAATTAGCAACGATCTTAAAAACCTGTACAATCAGTGTCACCGCAGGACAAAGACTTCCTCGGTGCCCTGCAAAGAGCCACGTTGCCACGATACGCCGCGATGCGACATTTCCTTAATAATAAAAACAAAAAACAAAAATTATTTTACTCCAATGCGTAATATTGGGTTAGTTAGTTACTGTTGCTAGGCAACTGCGGGTAGCGTCTGTTTTGTCTTGCGCCGGCCATAATAAGGAAAAATATAACTTAGAACTTGCTTTGAACTAGGTAAAGACTGCAACGATGCTTACAATCTTATTATTACTTAATATCAATATTGTAAAAAGTACTGCATAAGTTTAATAACCTAAATATTTGCATGACTTAATATTTTACCATTTAGGCTTATACGATAGGATAAGGAAGGGTATGAAAAAGGGGATCTGTGTTAGGAAGACGTTTAATAGACAAGAGAGCAACAATAACTAAACTCCCTTCAACGAACATTAACGTATCTTTTGAGTGATCGAGATGTAGATTAAATATATTTGGATCACGTTGCACACGTCGTTTCACACGTTTTGCTCAAGCATTGCATAATACGCTCTTAATTCTACGAAAGTGTGAATTTAAACTTTTCAATGTAATCAGGGGCCTTTGGCAAATATCGAATCAAATTCTAGACTCTGTATTAGGTATTAATAGTACTGAGAACTGTTTCAAAGATTTGATTCTGATTGATGGAAAACCTGAATTGAATTGGTACCCCCCCCCGGCTATTGGATAATGATAAGAAGAATATATGCAGACGGTACTTTGTACCTGTGCTACGTACAAATGTGTCAAAATATTGATATAATGTACTGATATGTAGTAGACATGTGTGATCTTGAAAGATTAAGAAAAGTAGCTAAATCATGTGAGAATAAGAATAGGATTTTCGTATTTAGTTATAATAACCCATTAATTAATATTTACTTACGTTAATTCTTAGTTCTCTAGTTCATCAGGAGTGAATTAAGAAGTAAGCGCAATTGCGACGTTCAGTAAGTACGATCACAAGTTACGCTCGTTTTGTTTGTAACCTATAAGATAAATCGTTAGTCAATCTTGAAAATGACGGTTTTTCCGAACTATCCACTACACATAATTTTCCTCATTTGACGTTGATGAAGATAAGGCTTTCAATAAATATCTATCCTTTGCTATATGTTTACTAGTCGCTTAACATACATCAAGATGATTCTAAAGTCGTCAGTGGGATTTTTGTAAGTCATGAATCAAAATGTTGTTTTGTTTTAATATATATAAAAAAAAATATTAAGAAAAGCTTTCCTTAGAAAATCGTTTAAATATTATTTCTTACTTTCAGAATATTGTTGATTTCGTTGTGTGAATGTAAAACGGCACACACTCGACATGAAGTCAGGAAGTTCCCTGAAGGCTTCCTGTTTGGGACATCCACAGCAGCATACCAAGTAGAGGGCGGCTGGGATGCAGATGGTAAGAATTTAAACTCGAAAGCCTTTTTTCCAAAGTTCTAATAACTGCATTAATGTAATGATTACAATTTTTTTATGACTATGATATGATTCTATGATACCTTTAGCGAATTGATAATTTGTAATGCTAATTATTGATCTCAGGTAAATCAGAAAACATCTGGGACCATATGACCCACAATAATCCATGTGTGATATTCGACTGCTCAAATGGGGACGTCGCTGGCGACTCTTATCACAATTATAAAAGAGACGTGGAAATGATGAGGGAATTAGGCCTCGATTTCTACAGATTTTCTCTCTCCTGGACTCGTATTTTACCAACCAGTTTTCCTGATCGTATTAATGAAGCTGGAGTGCAATATTACAATAACTTGATTGATGAGATGCTTAAATACAATATTGAACCGATGGTTACTCTTTATCACTGGGACTTGCCGCAAAGGCTACAGGACTTGGGAGGTTGGACTAACCCACATGTGGTTGACTGGTACGCAGATTACGCTCGTGTTGCATTTGGCCTGTTCGGTGACCGAGTAAAGTATTGGATAACTATCAACGAACCCAGAGAAGTCTGCTATCAAGGTTATGGAGCAGACACTAAAGCTCCTGCAGTGAACTTCAAAGGTTTAGGCGAGTATTTATGCGCCAAGAATCTGCTGCTAGCTCACGCAAAAGCTTATCACATTTATGATGAAGAATTCAGACCTAAACATAAGGGATCCATCTTTATTTCACTTAGCGGTCAATTTTATGAGCCAGAGAGCGAGGAATATATTCAGGCTGCTCATGAATCTAATCAGTTTGAGGTAAGTAAGGCCCTTTACAATATCATTAGTTATTTAAATTTCATATCACAAAGTGCCACAAACATAATAATGTTCTTTGTTTCAGTGGGCTATTTACGCTCATCCCATTTTCACCGAGACCGGTGGTTTCCCTCCGATTGTTAAAGAAAAGGTTGCAGCTAAAAGTGCAGAGCAAGGCTTGTTCAGATCACGGTTACCTGAGTTCACACCAGAGGAAGTAGAATATGTGAAGGGGTCTTCCGACTTCTATGGACTGAATCACTATACAACGTACTTGGTGTACAGAAATGAGTCTGCGATAGGCCGTTATGATGTTCCTTCATTCTATGATGATATGGGTAATGTGCATTACCAGCCTGATGACTGGGAACGTGGTGCGTCAGGATTCCTTAAGGTAAGCCTTTACTAGTACAATACTACTTATTTTTGAGAATTTGCAATATCAGATACCTAATAGGCACACAGCCATGGTAAGAAGATCTAAATAATGTCCATCATTTATAATATTACAATCGACATGTACATGGAAACCTAACATTAATTACAATTAAAATTGCTCTTTGCACCCACCGTAATACTTCTCGGCATCACCCAAGGACAGCCATCAGCCTGGTATATAATGCCTGCGGCATTGAGTCCACCTAATGTACATACATGAGTATGAAGTTTTTTAAAATAAAAAATTTCAAACAGGTCATTCCATGGGGTTTCTACAAGCTACTGACACAAATCAGGAATGATTACAACAACCCTCCAGTGTTGATTACTGAGAATGGGTATTCGAGCTTCGGAGGTTTAGATGATGACAATCGCATTTCGTACCTGAGACAGTACATCAGCGCCATGTTGGATGCCATGGATGAGGGGTCAGACATCAGGGCCTACACCGTCTGGAGTCTCATGGATAACTTCGAGTGGATGCGAGGATACAGGTCAGATGATAAAATAATATTAAGTTAATATTATTTTTCTGGTCTGGTTAAATCATGTTACGTATTAAAATAAGAATTACTATTTAAAAAAATGTAAACATTCATATTCTTATCAAAACTAGAATGTAATAAGTAATAACTCTGCAGCAGTTATTAACTTCTTATTTATAAAACTATTATCCAGTGTTAGTATCTAGAAACAAATATTTAGTTTCATTAACAACCAGTTTTTACCGACTTCAAAAAAGGAGGAGGTACTATGTTCGGCTGATTGTTTTTATTTTAATTAAAAGAAATTATCGACCTTGAAGTAAATTGAAATCAACAGTCATTTACATATTTCAGTGAACGGTTCGGTCTGTACGAAGTGGACTACGAGAGCCCCGAGCGCAAACGTACGCCGCGCAAGTCCGCCTTCATGTACAAGGAGATGGTGCGCACGCGCAGCCTCGACTGGCACTACGAAACCGACACCATGACCATGACAATCGATGACGGACACTGATAGTAACGTGATAATAATATGATTGAAATAAAATATGAATGGATCTTTGATAAATACTTTCATTTAAGATTTAGCCTACACCCTGTACTGAATAATGAATTTTTAGTAATTAGGTAATTATTATTATAAATCCTATCTTCAGTGGATATAAATCAAGTTTCTTATTTATTATTTCAAAAATCACGTTACTTATATAAACTAAGTTTAATTTGAGCTTAAAAAATAGGCTTTTAATTAATGTTGTTATTATAAACTTCGTGAAAGAAAGGTCCATGGTCACACACATACGTACAGTTTAGATAGAATGATAAATTCAAATGAATAACCTCGCACTCACATATTGTTGGTATTGATAACGATGACAGATACTTAAAGAAAAGATAAATCTATTCATAAACACTTGTTTATCCTCTTGTTAACCTTTGCTCATATTTTTCTTGTATATCTATCACTTGAGATGTTGCTAACCTCGTTAGAAATGAGATTCTGATGGTATTCGTGACAAAAATACTGTTAAACCAAACATTAAATTGTATTTCTTTTGAAACTTGCCATTAAAATAGGTATAAAATGGGAATATGCAGTACCTATGTACCTCCAATTTATTTATATGTGTTCTCCTGTTCACTGTCCGTGTGTTGTACATAAATTTATAAGTAAACTAGCGCTGCCATATTGATTTGTGAATCTAAACCATTCCCAGATCCCCATTGAACACACACAAAAATTTTCATCAAAATCGGTCCAGTCGTTTGAGAGAAGTTCAGTGACATACACACTCATACAAGAATTATATATATAAAGATAAGTCAGAGAGTCAATGTTAATTTATAACGCGTGAGAAACGGGAAGGTGAAAGAATTTAGATTATCAGTGGCAGACTAGGATATATACGTACCTATAGAGAGATATTTACTAATGCTACGAAAGCATATGTGGCCATAACAACTAACTTTACAAATAAAACAAGTATATATGAATATTGTCATTTATTCAATAAATAATATGTTGTTATTAATAATATTATTTTTGGCATCAAAACGCCTCACGCACCACAAACATTGAACAAAGCTCAACGTTTAATAAATACTGAAACAAATTATGCGCATGATATTATAAAATTGTTAGCAGTAATATTTACAAATTCATTCTATTATTTTAGCTATAAATATACACATACATAAATAACAGTCACATAAAATGTAAATAACCAAAAACATCTGCGCGTAAAATGATCTAAAATATATTTCGCGATCATATTATATTCATATCAACTAGTACCCGTGCTAATTCAAAACTAAACATACATTTATGTATTCACTAAAATATTGATCCCTAAAACCGGTAACAATTTGTAAGATCAAGTAGAGTATAAACATAAATAAACCATTTCAAGTTAAACGATACAGTAGACTAATCTTGAATCAAGAAACAAGATTGAAAACAGAAGGTCCTTTGTGCACGTTTAAAATATCATAGTTATTTAAATGAGAAAGAAAAGTTTCTTAACTATGGGTAAAGCATTTTTAGAGAGCAATAACAATATTCAGTTAATAGTTTTTAAAACATGTCAAACGGTAAAATCTATTCATTATTTAGTAAAATTTCACAAGTATTAACAATTCCTTCTTTTTAATATAGTCTCTCATCATTCTTCTCATTTAGGTACTTTTATTAATTTAATATTAGTAAAAATGTAACCCTCGAAATATCTTATTAATTTCATAAAGTGACAAAATAAACCATGGAATGTTTGAGTCGCAAAATAAACAATCAACCAAACTTAAAGAATGCAAATCAATTGTTATTTTAGTCGTATTGCTAAACGTTTAGGCAGAATTAAGCAGTTCAACTAACAATGTTTTAGCTTTTTTAAGAGTAAAGATAAAGAACACTGAGATACAGAAGATTTTTTGAATATATTGTATTCGTTATAATAAAGAACATTTACAAAGGAGATCAGATGAAACGTAGGGACGAAGGACTTCACACTAGGTACATGAAGCTATAGAACAGCGACACATGAATCCTGGTACATTCACAGTTATACACAGTACACAAATCCTAGATAAGTAAAGATATAAAATCACTTAAATCACTCCTAAGTATATACTTACTATGAACATTTTACGAGTTACTTAAGTAGAAAGGATCTAACTAGATTTTGAATGATTGCATCTGTTTGTTATGAGTAAGTCATGGTCCTATCTGTATGTATAATATTAGTAAGTTGTTGTGATTCATTTAATAAGACAATTATAGTAACAAAAAATGAAATAATGTTACTTAACTAAATAAAAGTCGGAAGCAATAATGTAAAACTAATATCAATGCCTACAGTAAACTTAAATCATTTAGTAAACGTAGGTTTACTCTCTCTACTTACGTTACTCGTAAATGCTATACGTACGCTGATACTGACATATTGTTCGTTTAAAAATAAAGTTATTTGGATCCGTGAATGCATTAAACAAACAATATGACCAGTGCCACGTGCATTAAAGTTTATATAATAATAAAATTATTGTAAAACTATGTTAACTCTATACAAATCTTCAGCAGTTCCTTGACTAGTATTCAGATAGGTATATATTGTACAATACAGGTCGGTCAGGTTTAGAAAGGTACATATGTAATTGCTTTTCAATATCAATAGTTTTACTTTAAATATATTATGTGATCTACTCTGTTTCTTAACATCGTGAATATGAATCAATCCTATAAAAATGTTAAAGGTTTTAAATAATTTCCCATAAAAAATATAAATTTTCACAACGACAATGTTGCCTTACCTTACAAATAACAATTCCAGATCTAAATATCTCTTCTATTACTATTGTTTAATGGACCGTTATGATTCTAACCACTCATCACATTTATCAAGTTTTGTATTGCTTGTTGTTATTAGGTAAATATATTTTATATATGTAAATAGGTATCTTAATAATGAGGTACGAGTTTGCTTAACATTCACAATGGGGCAGACATTGGAGGCATATTTTTGTACGAAATGACACACGCTTGCATTAAAAATATAATTTACATTTGTAACAATCGCTCTAATAATATTATAATCTACGAAAATTCAATCCATTCTTACAAGACGTTTAATAGTCAGCATGAATCTGCTTGGCAGATACCAATAGCAATTAGTAAGATATGGTTTCTGTCCTACATCACGGAGGTAAAGCAGAGAGTGATACTTAGGAATGGGGCTCGTGGCTAGTGTGGGGTGGAGGTGGGATCACGCCTGGGTGTCCGCGTCGGTGTAGTGGCTGGGGCCCTCGGCGGAGCACACCGAGTCCTCGGGCGTGCGCGACGCGTCGCCCGCCTCGCTGGCCTCCACCACGCTGGCGCTGCCGCCCGCCTTGCCCTTACAGCCGCGCCGCGCCTGTAGAGCCTGACACACAATATATCATTGCACCACGTGCCAGTGTCACAAATTAAAATAAACTGTAAAAAATATATCTGAAGCAGTTGGAGGCAGCATGTCCAAATGTCCATGAATGTGCATTTCTTCATGTTCATTAACTTTAATTATTTATTTAATCATTTTACGCTTCGACGTTTTAAATGTACATAGTACAATTAGAGGTATTTCACGAGCGTTGTTAATTTGCAGTTAGAAGTTTAGAAGTAGTTATACTGGTGTAAAAAAACGATAAAGAATAGTAGATCGTTTAGTTTTATTGAATTAACAATTAGTAGAAACAAAATCTAAAAACAAATAGGATTAAAGCTCTGCGTTTGGTACAAATAACATACAAAATATAATATTTAGATAAAAAAAACAATAACAGCCCTTGGCCAAAATAACAGTCCGAAAGAAAGAGCAAAAGTGCCAATTCAGACAAAATAGAATAAGATCGTTTCTGGCAATTGAGTTGTTTAGCTCGGTACCGGAGCACAGAGAAAGCGTATATCGGAACATTGCGACAGTGAGGTGTGGGGCTGGGTGCAGGCACTAGCAGGCCGCGGGGTCCACGGGGTCATGCGGGTGCTCCACGTCAGTGCGCATGCGATATATTACGTAGCTATGTACTGGACGCCTCCTTACCTTTTCACGACTGCCCTTTTTCTAAAGTCGGTGTAGGATGGAAGATGAAACATTCAATTAATGATAGTGGAGGTAGAACACCGATAACGAGGACTGAAATTACCTAAACACTATTCACATTACTAACACTTTAGGTCATCATTTCAGGTTAATAGGTGATAAAAGTTGGGTCCTAATTAAAAGGTTTTTATAAGGACAAGATCTGTATCTAAATATGTTATCATCCTCATTTGGTAATATAGGAACTAGTCGGTTGAAGAGGTAATTTTCTGATCATGGTTATTAGTATACATTAGGTGCGCATATCAACTAAAGATTGGGCAAAACCTTACAAGGCTTAGTAAACATTAGTACTTGTGTTACGTGTGCATTGTATTAATTTTTGCTTTCCACTCCTATTTAATAAAGCTTTCAGTTTCAAACTCTCAACATTGAAACTCTGTAAACGAGTTTGATCTATAAAGTTGCATTAGTAATGAAAAGAAAACATCAGTTATGAAACTAATTTGTACAAAAGTGTAATTTACCTGTAAGGAGAATCGTCGATGCGGCGGTTTCCTGCCGCCGCGTCGCTTACTGATGTGTGGGTTGTCCCTGCGCAGTGTTTTGTTCCGTAAGATCTCCAGCTGCACGTACAACCTTTTCAGTTCGGCGCGAACTTCCTCGGAGGTGGGCTCCTCCTCGCCTTCCGCGCCGAAACCCTCCGCGGGACCTCGACGCGATACCTTGAAATGTTTTTAATCACGTCATCATTGTCATGACACACACAATATTGTGTACATCAGTCATGCGGAATTTTATTACGCTACTTAATTCTACTTCTGTGTGTTTCGGCGAATATTTGATTTCATTTGAGTCGATTAGAATTTGACTCATAACCTCTGATTCAATTATAATATTCTTAAGTTAGTTAGGTTAGGCAGACATGCACATTGCAATTGCACCATTCATTAATTAAGTGTAATATCCACTTTTCACAAGTTATGTTATGAGAGTCCTGTGAGGTGACACCTAACTTCTAGTTTTTTATACGCACCTATTATTAGGTATACGATCAGCTAGACGATTCTGTAAGATGTCAATTCGTAATCTAGAAGTGAGGTTGAATTCATTCTCGCATGTCATTGGTCGACAATATTCTCACAACCAATGACATGGCGGACTGCGATCGAGCTCACTTCGAGAGTTCGATTTGGCATCTTACAGAATAGCCTAGCGGTTTTACCACCTTATGGGGAGTAAGTTTCGCCAATAAATAACCAGCGTAGTTATAATGTTACCTCTTGAGCAAGCGAGCGCGCGCGGTAGCCGTGCCACAGGCGAGGCGCCAGCACGCAGGCCAGCGCCGCGCCCGCCGACAGCTGCGCGCGCGCCGCCGCCGACAGCGGCCAGCGCTCCGGCGCCGCGCCCGGCTCGCCCCACGCCACGCCGCGCCACCACACCCCGCACAGACCCTCGCAGCACAGCGCTGCTGCCAGCCAGCCTCGCTCCTGCAAAGGCAAGGAAACTAATTAGACAAACAACAGTGTAGATTGTAGAGTATGTAGTTATACGTCTGGGACCTTACAAAATGTAATATATATGTATATGTATGTATAGGAATAGGAATTCGGTACCTGAAAATTGGTAGCCTGCCAGCATATTTTCAGTCCGCCATACAGGTTTCGCACAGAAAAGACTTAAAAATCTTTTAAATTTAGGTTTAATACCTGGAATGGCACATTTGCGTTCCTAGCAGCATACGCTATGCGTAATCCCGCAGCTAGTAGCAGCAACTCTGCTCCAGCAGTGACATGATGCCAAGCAGCGCGTGCGCAGCCCGCACTGGCGTCCTCCTCGCACGCTGCTGTGGCGGTGAACGCTGCCAAGTAGCACGCTGCGCCCAGCACCATCGCTCCAACTACTCGCAAAACCTGTAAAATTAGTTGGAGGACATTTCTGCTTGTATTACTTATCTACGATATGATATGTAGGGATTTAATGTAAATATAAATGAAACGTGTAATTTTACTTCTGAATCCCGCGGCGTCCACCGATGGGCTTTCCTAGTGCGGAACTCAGCGAGCAACACCCAGAGTCGCAGCACCACGGAGCCATAGCACGCGACAAAGCCAAGTTCCCGCAACCACGCGCCTGCTATACATCGCCACTTCGCGACCGATATGAACTGGGATGCCGCCTAAAAATTCAAATTAGACAAATCAATAATAATCTTTAAAAAATATTATTATATATACGAGGTATTTGAAACAAAAATAATAAATGAAATACTTACGGAAGCATACATTAAAAACGCACCAAGAAGAACAACTTCTAACACTGTCCACATTCCCACTGCCACCGCCTGAAAAAAGTAAATAGCTCTATTTAATTCACAATTCAGAAACATTAACCGGAATAATGTAACACACATCAACCTCCATCATTAAACTTACTTTACATTTTCTCTTGTGGAATATAATTACTCCTGTGACAAGACAGAGTAGCATGCCACCCACGTTGCCAGCCAGCACAGCAACGCGATGGGCATCAGTCAAGCAGGCAGTGGAGTCACTGCCCATGCCACAAGGTGTGCAAGTCAAAGGACCAGAGTCGTCTGCTATTAATGTAGCGCCAGTCAGCCATCCGCTACCGCCGGAGTTCCAATGCTCTGCCTGACACTTGCATCGATACTGAAAAGAGGTTTTTTTTTAAAGTTAGTAAAAATTTAATATACTATTGAAGAAGAACAATAAAACCAATAAAAAAACCTCACCTCTATTTTGCGGTCTCCAGAACCAAATGATGGAGTAGCTTCACAATCTGTCGTAGCAAGATCGCATAAAGGAGCCCCGCCCAGCCAGTCGTTCATAGCCTCTTCACAAGGTAGAGCAGGCCAACGTCGGAAGAGAGCTGCAGCAGATCTCGCAGGTCCTGAGCCACGAGCTGCTGCTACACCTCCCCACCAGCCCTCACCATCTTTATCACAAGAGAACCACGCATTCGACCACACTGCTGTAGTGGCATTCCATGCTGATGCCAATGTTCTCCAAAACTGACGTAAAGTTATTGAGTTGTTTTGTTGGAAGACAACGAGCTTAGGTGGTTCAGCTATGTAGAGGACGCCGAGATGTAACTGTGGAGCTCCAAGCGCGACGGCCGCGGGTGGAGGGGAGAGGGGCGCGCGGGTAGCTGCGCGGGCCAGTGCTGCAGCGCGTTCTTCGTCCGCCACGCCTTGTTGCACTAATTCCACCAGCGCACGCGCCGTATGCATTGCAGCCGCCTCGTGCTCACGAGCATTCTATAAAGTAAAAACAAATTTGTAAAAGGTTGTTTAGACGAAACCATATACCTAGTTAGTATTGGCAAAAACTAATCAGATGTCATGTAAAACAAAGTTTGTAACCCTAAATCTATAAGCCGTAGGCCGTAGCAAGTATACACTACGAATTACGAATTATGCCCTACGAGCTACGAGCTACGAGCTACGCACTACTAGCTTCTAACTACGCACTACGAGCTATTAACTACCTGCTACGAACAACGAGCTACGACCTATGCACCAAGAGCTACGAACTATAATAACATTACGCACTACAAGCTTCTAACTATGCCTACGAGCTATGAGCCACGTACTAGGCGCTACGAGCTATGGTTATAGTTTCGCTATAATAAAGTGTAAAATTATCTAGTAAAGAAACTATCAACAAATTTTAAAACTTAGAACTTGTTTTAAAAATTAATTCCTTAAACTAGGGGGTAAAACGTACGCGCTACGATCTACGAGCTACGATACGAGTCACGAATTACGCGCTACGAGCTACGGCTGTAGTACTTCCTCACAACTAAGTGTAGGGTTTATTTTATTTATTTAGAAAACCAACAACCAATATAATTTACAAAAGGTTGTGTGAATTACCGAGACAAAGTACTGTTACAAGTAAATAAGTAGTGTAGTGTGCTTACTGATGGCATAGGCGGCGTGTTCTTTAAGACGAGGGGTTCGCAGACGGTCGCGGCAGGTCCGGAGGCTGGCGACAGGGGGGTGGCGGCGGCGGCGCTGGCGGTGGGGAGCGGTGTGCGCTGCTCGGCCGGCGCGGCCACTGCGCACGCGCACCACGCCAGCGCCCACGCCGCCCACCGCACCTGCATCCTTCACCTGGCTAACCTTAAGTGCTGGAAGTATTACAAGTTTGAACTTATTAATTCCAAGCCCTTCATCTTACGATTGTTTAAATCCAATGAATTAAACACAAGGCTTTATAGCCATGATAATGCCTACAGAGTAGTACAGAGATAATGGCAACGCCATTATAAATCAGGACTGTCAACTGTGTGTATCAGGTTCTTGGATTCTACAAGTTCTTAGTACTTCAACCTATTTATTTGACAATAATTGCTTTGCTCACACATGACCCGATGCGGAGCGGGAACGACTATTGTCTTGTTTCCCACTTTATGGCTTAGTAAAGAGAAGTGTCTAGACAATATTGATTTTGAGTTGAGTTTGACTTCGACTTCACTATAAAGAATGTAAGTTACGACTTTTATGTATACGTTCCACAAAGAAAACAAACTTCAGCAAACATATATACTCAGAGTCGGAATCAAAATGTTAATGAGCGATATCTTATCGCAATACGTGAAAAAAATGTTTACAAAATAATGTCTTAAAACACTAACAAAATTAAATAGTATTCCGATTGTATATAATAAATTCATGGAGGCGTTAAACGATGAACCTGGAAAAGCGATACAACGATATCGGGAAAGTATATTCACAACTGTATTGTGTAAGCAAGTACGAACTGTAAAGTATTTTTACTCGAATTGTTTACGGGTGGTGTTTGATCTATAACTCATATGATCTAGATATTTCAATATGATAGGCACAACATAAAGAAGCATGCATATCATGATATGCATGCTTCTTTATGTTGTGTAAAATAACCTCGAGCTAAAAGAGCTAATCAGAGTAAACTTTACTGTTTTATACTCACTACGTAAGTGAAAACCAATTTCTGACATATATTGCTTATCTAGTACCTACTTCACTCTTTGGATATTTTCTCGGACGTCGATTTTCTTCGACGCTTACCGTTCATGAATAAATAAATAAGTTGGTACTTTAGATAATAGGAAAACACGTTACGTGCGAGACTAGCTTGTCAATGTTTTACATTATGCTGATTTACCACAGGAGATAGCGGAGTTTTATTGCCCTCTTATATATACCTGTAGTGGGTATGTCCATAGTACCAAGAAAAACCACCCAATAAATAAACACCCTAGTTGAAACTCACAATAAAATTATAAAAAGTTATATATTATAATATTACGTTCAGACGGACAAATGGAATGCAGAGGTTTTGTAATAGAATTCCGCTCACACTAGATATAGAACTCCAATATAATCTACTTCTCCACGTAAATGAGCATGCGTCTCATGTTACCTTGAGATTCCGCGAGGTAATCTAATCTTCCCAGATCAGGGGGGTTATCCATAAGTGTCTGATAAAATGTAATGAATAAACGAACACGACAAGATTCAGTCAAGCATCAAATCCACTGTTTAAGTACACTTGACGACCTTTGCTGGATACTAATTGGTCTCTGGTTAACATAACATCACGCCTTTTATCCCCGAAGGGGTAGGCAGAGGTGCACATTACAGCACTTAATGCCACCATAAAATAGTAACACCGCCTTTCACAATTTATGATATAGGTAAGTCCCATGAGCCTATTGCCATTTACCGGACTCAATTTCAGACTACGTGCAACTACTGAGAATAAAAAAAAAACTGGTAATACTTTGCCCGACCCGGGAATAGAACCCGAGACCCGAGCAACGAGGCAGTCTCTGGTTATATGTACAAATTTACGGTTTCACGTAGGTACTTCGATATGTGGTGAAAAATACTCTAAAATGGAATCTAAATTCCTAAATACAGATTCATACTAATAAACGGCACATAATATATTAGTTACACTGCCTGTTTGTATCGCATGTCAACGTCAGGCCACGTTACGTAGCTCGCGTATTTCTTTGTAAAGTAGTTTTACTGGTGTTAAAGCTTATCATCATTTCTGTATTAATTAATCGCTAACTTTAAACATCATTTAAGTATTCTGATTAAATATGATGAACCTGAATAATAAGAATATAAATAAATACTTACACCATAAAATAGACTAAAACAGTCACTAAGAAAGGCCGAAAAAAAAACTAATAGAAAAAAACAAATAGGCGATTATCAAATCCTCATGACGTTCATTGGGAATATATTGGTTAGTATATAAGTAACTTAAACAATGAATACAATTGTAACATAATAAGTTGTTCGAACTTCAAGCTACTACTGAGTCTAAACATTGTATACTAGTAACGACCCAGAGTTATTACTGCTTATACTTGTGAAGTTGTGAGTGACGCTACTACTGACCAAATGGTCAGTAGTAGGAATTAAGCAAATATTCTCTTTTCAACCTGAGAATCAAACTAGAGAGAGATACAAACTATAAGTATCTATGTTGTATCATAATATATCGTCAAATCACTTACTGGCTAGTTTTATGTGGCAAGAAAAGGCTTCTAACGTAGTTAAGACTTCAGAAGCTGACGTTCGACTGTAATTTGATAAAATTCGCAAAAGGCCCATTCACGGTGATTCAATTTTCAATGCGATTTCTCAATTTTCCTTCCACAGCAGTCTACGAAGGGGTTGGCTTAGTAACTAGTAGTAGGTAGGGTTTCTTAATTGATTTGTTAAGAAAATAAATTTGTCTCTGGATTACCCGGGGTTGGGTGAAATGTTATTGGGCCATTCTGGGTTTTAGCAAAATCTTAGAAATATCTATTATAGAATGTGAAATCGTACCAATGCTCAATATACGGGACTATATAATAACACATTTACACAACTGACTATCTTATAGCATTTTCGAATATTCTGAGGTACCTAAATATCAAATTAAATGTTGTTTATAAAAGTGAACAATCAAAATGTAAGTAAATACAAGAAAAACACTGAACTATTTTGGTGGTTTTATTTACATTGGCCTTACGTACTGACCTTATATTTATTAGGTACACGATATGATTTATCCCTTAGGTATTCATTGAGCCGAGTTAAAGATTTCCACTCGGTTAACATTTAGGGGTTGTAGACAGCATTGAGACAGTTATTTACTATAATGTGGAGTCTAAATTATGTAATTACGTCACACTTGTCTCCCATTGGGGTAGGCAGAGCCAATAGAATACTAATGATTCTGATTTAGTTTTGATATTTGTTAAGTTTATTGAATAGACCACAATATTATCAATTTCAAATACATAATTTATTTCAGTTTTGGTGGCTTAAGCCAATTTTAGATCTGAAGACCACCAGGACTCCAGTTATAGATGAATTGGAGTATTCCTGATCATCTAAATTGACCATCTGGGTACCTATAACTTTTTGCTAAATTTATGTGCCCGCATGCTTAAATACTACCTACAACTAAATATTATTAGTGTTGACCAAGTCTGTTGTTGCGGCCGTAGCAATCAGTGTCCACGTAGAAGCAGATAATCCGCACGCTATTGCTCGACTTTGATCACAAGCCCGATATGCCAGGCGCCATTGCCATTCACAAGGGACATTGAAATGTGGACCGCCACTCGAATATTGATCGTGTTGTAAACGTTTAAAGTTTAAAGTCATTATGACTAGTAATTAGTTACTAAAACTAACACTATCAACTCCCATGGGAACGACGATTTCCAGGTAAGGTGCGAGTCGTATGAGATTGTGGAAATTGCGAATTTGACAGCCAATAATAAAGTTTTGATACATGTAGTGGTGTATTTTTTAATTATGTTAATAACTAATTATAATTTAAGTATATAAAAATGCGAAAGTGGTGACTTACGACACTGAAAAGTCAATTCATCCACAACTTTTAATAATAACAAGTAGATACAGTTACAATACAAATAATTTCTGAGCAATGATTAAATGAAGTACTCTGGTATTTATAGCACTCCATCGAATGGCGTAGTCTAATTTTAAATAATGTTTCCATGACAGCGGTATAATGAAAGATACTGAAACTGCACATAACTAAATCTATATATATAAAAATCAATGCCACTTTTCGTTGTAATTCCATAACTCAAGAACGGGCTCACCTATCCAAACCAAATGCTTCGGATTTGGTCGGCATATTTAGTAGATGGTTTATGTGAAGTTTGCACAAAATCGGTCGAGCGGTTCCTCATTTGTCACATTTTTTGTAATAAATGAATTCAATAGAAACTTTTTTCACAGAAACTTTTTTGAAGTTTTGTTGACAGGACAAGCACGTTGTTATGTCATTCATGCCGTCAGTTCATTTTGGACGTGGTTTGATTAAAGCATATTATCAGCGATAAATTTCTTTTCACATAATTGCATTTGCAGTGCATTCATACAAACGGTGAGTCCTGAATTTATGTGTACTTTTCTAAGTTGCCGTATATGATTTCACATAGCATCATATGCGACAGCTTCTTGGGAATTTTTTTTTTTTTGTTCTAATTTTTTTTTTCGATTTTTAAGCGAAAACATATGTGCATACGGGAAAAATGCCACCAGCCAGACGAGGAAATATAGGTCGGCGAACGCGTAATGCAAATGATGTGGCATTACTAAGACGATCACAGACTGCAGATGAACGCGCACAAGCTAATGCATCGCAGCGTGAACGTAATGCACGCAATGGATTTGTTAACCCAGTACCTACTGAATCTTGCACGGCCATCACGAATACGTCGTGCTGTTTTGGCTGAAATGATGCGTGCTGCTTTTAATTACAACAGTCAGATTGATTATAGTATGTATGGATACATTGGAATGATGGACGCAATATGTCCACATTGTGATGCGGCTAACTTTCCAGGTGAAACGCCCGCATGTGTTGTGCTAATGGCAAAGTGAGATTGCCAGCATTAGAAACTCCACCCGAACCATTGTATTCATTTATTTTTGGGACATCGCAAGCGTCGAAGCACTTTCTGAGTCATATTCAACAATACAATTCGGTATTTCAAATGACTTCTTTTGGCAACTAAAATTATTAGAGATAATTTTATGCCGACGTTTAAGGTAAATACTTCAACAGGATTAT